ATTTCAACTGGATTCTAAACCTGCTACTCAAACTCTACTATATTGCATAGTTAATGAACACTGGCAGGATGAAACACCTTTGAAGGTGAGGCAGCCTGGGTGGCTCAGTCAGTTAAGCATCTGCCTTCAGCTCAGGGCATGGTCCCAGAGTCCAAAGATCAAGTCCCACATTGGGTTCCTTGCCCAGCGGGGGGAGCCTGCTTCTCCCTCTGCCTGCCACTCCCCCTGGTTGTGCTCTCTCTCTCTCTGACAAATAAATGGATGAAATCTTTTAAAGAAAAGAAAAGAAAAACACTTTTGAAGGTATAAGCTAAAACTAAAAAAATAAATAAATAATAATCCTGCAATTAAAAACCATATACATTTTATAATTTGAGGAGAATATATATATTCCTCATGACCTGAGCCACAGTCAAGGTCAGACACAACAAACTGAGCCACCCAGGCTCCTCAAAAGAATATTCTTAACATAAAATTATAAAATTGTTTTTAACATGTTGATGTTGTTATATACTTAGGTTTTTCCAATACAGAAGTCGCTTTTAATGATTTGCTCTTTTTTTCTTGATAATAAAATATTTTTCCAGGAAAATGCTGAATAAGTCTTTGTTGAAATACACTACATTGCTTTCTGTCAATGACCCTAAAGTAATACAGAATTTATACTTCAGTGGTTGCAATGCTCAAACTTGACAGGTAGTGCCTTATGTTTGATGATAAAAACAAAACAAAAAAAAGGTATGGCATAAGTCTAAGTGGTTTTGTGTTTATTTAGTTTTGAGGAGAAATTAATTGATTTAACATATTGGTGCCAAAGCACAAAGTCTAGACAGCTGATTCTTCATATTTTTAAAATTATTGCAGATCTCATTTTGTCTAAATGTGTATTTTTAAAGCTATCTGTATCTCCTTATGTGTATTATTTAAATTGCCATAAATCATGGAAATACAAAACAAAGCTATCCTGGAATAGGATAATTTTTAAAGTGGTGCTTTCATTTTGTTATGCAAATGTTGTCTACTTTTCCCTTAGAAAGAACAAACTTATCCAGAACTTTTTACACAACATTCTTATAATTGGAATTGAATTAGGGTTGGAAAACAGTACTTCTAGAGGAATCGGTAGTAATATGCATGTTCATTTATTTCATTAATGGAATATTTAATGAGCTATCAAATTGAGATTGAGGTTACTATTGAATGCCTGAAGTACAGGAATTATTTATTGAAAGAAAACCTCTGTTTTACTTGTTCATGTAGAAGTAGGAGAGTTACCTGGCAATATGAACTATTGTAGAGCCTGGCTGAGTGCCTGTTATATGAATTGCTACTACACCAAAAATAGGACTGTGTTGAAAAATAGCCTTTTCCTCCGGAATTAGTTTTAAATCTGCAAACTTATTTTAACTGTTATTTAGTTAGGGGCACCTGGGTGGCTCAGTTGGTTGGGCATCTGACTCTTGATTTCAGCTCGGGTCATGATCTTAGGGTTGTGAGATTGAGCCCCGTGTTGGGCTCTGTGCTGGGCATGGAGTTTGCTTAAGAGTCTCTTTCCTTTTACCCTGCTCTCTCTCTAATAATAATAATAATAATAATAATTTAGTTAATATTTCAGAATTCTTCCTTATAAAAAGCAGGAAGAAAAAGAAGACATTGAACATATAATACATTTGTTTTCAAGCAGGTCTACTTCTGCTTGAATCTAGAGGTGCATATGGGGGTCAGAGCTTCAAATGCACGACCAGATAAATAAAATAGATCCCTAGCCGCATTGAGTTATTGAACATTTAAACACACACCATAAAACGTATGCCAAAAAATCATTCTATTCTTGGAATAGTTAGTAATCTAGTGTATACCTAAATTGTAATTTGCCAACAGGCTAACTGGCTACATTTTTGGTTTTTAACAGGGTAATAATTTTTTCCCTACATTTCTGAGTTTCGATATAAGCATCAAGTCATGTATGGCCACTACAAATCTTCGCATACTTCTGACCACTGGCCGTCACTGATCATCCTACATATCTGTCGTTTTGCCTGTTTTAAAATGTCACATAAGTAGAATATACGAGAATGTTCTTAACAGTTTTATTCATAGTATTTAAAAACTGGAAACAATCCAATGTGTAAATGCAATCTATGTGGATAAGATCCACAGATCTATAATGTATTGAGCTGTCCTAGATTGTTGAGAAAAATTTAGCAGAGTGACAGATCTGTAACTTGGAGGAGAAAAAGAGTCCCCCTTTTATAAAGAATATCGTCAAGAATTCTTAACACATCTTAATGAAATTAAAAATGAAAGGATGAAGAAAATATATTGATGAGGCTTGAGACCTCAGAGTTAATTATGTGAGTAAATTATCTTTTTTTTTCAGTAAAAAACCCTATTTTTATGAAGCTTTTTCAACTTAATTGTCCCATAATAAACAAGATTAATTGCATCCTAGTCAGGGAGAATTCCGGTATCCACAGAATCAAAGATGAAAGTCAAAATCACAGGATAGATTAGGAAAATAATGTCATCAATCAAAATTTGTCCCTTTAAGTTTGTTTAGCAAGGAAATATGTTGAACAAATTTTTCTCAAAGTCTACATTTATTATTGGATTCAATTTAACTTAACATTACTGGATAGAAGCAGCATTTTCAAAAGTAAAATTGTTTCATTTATTTAACAAACACCTACTAGTCGTCTATTTAGCAGTAGACACCATGGTATATGCTAGGATTATAAAGATAAATCAAATACAACCCCTGACTTCAGGTAATCCAGATGATGATCGAGGATATAGAAAGCCACAAAAAATGGATATAACAGGTGATATATGTGACAATACAGCATAAATCAATTCCTGGATTTATTGACCTTTGTAAAAGCAATTTCAGTATTAGGAGGATGATTTTGGAATCCAGAGGAAGAAGAGAGAAATAACGCTTGATTTTAAAATTTGAGGAAAACTACGGTTTTTGAAGTTTTTATTTTAATTCCAGTTAACATACAGTGTTACATTAGTTTCAGGTGTACAGTATATGATTCAGCACTTCTATACATCACCTGCTGCTCATCACAAGTGTCCTTGTTACTCCCCATCACCTGTTTCATGCATACCTCTTTCCACCTCCCCTCTGATAACCATCAGTTTGCTCTCTATAGTTAAAAGTCTGTTTCATGGTTTGTCTCTCTCTATTCTCTCTCTCTCTTTTCCCTCTTTGCTCATTTGTTTTGTCTCTTAAAGTCCACATATGAGTGAAATCATACAGTATTTGTCTTTCTCTGACTTATTTTACTTGGCGTAGGGTAGCTCTATTTTTAACTCTTTGAGGAACCTCCATACTGTTTTCCAGAGTGGCTACACCAGTTTTCATTCCCACAACAGTGCACGAGGGTTCCTTTTTCTCCACATCCTTGTCAAAACTTGTTGTTTCCTGTGTTGTTGATTTTAGCCATTCTAACAGGTATGAGGTGATATCTCACTGTAGTTTTGATATGCATTTCCCTGATGATAAGTGATGATGAGCATCTTTTTATGTGTTCGTTGGCCATCAGCATGTCTTCTTTGGAGAAATGTCTCTTCAAGTCTTCTGCCCACTTTTAATTGGATTATGCTATCAGTAGCTAATATTACAAACAAAATATACAGCTAGGGAGGGATCATCATTAACACTATTTGCTATAAATTCAAATTTTATTTTCTTCTTGATAATTGCATTTCTTATTGGTTTCATATGTGATCTCAGCATATCACTATTATTTTGAATTTATGCTATAACTCATAAAGCACACATACCAGAGTAGGCAAACTATGAGTTCAACACTCTTCCTCTGTGGTTTGCTTATGCGTTCATTAAGGATATTCTCTTAATATATGGATTGTTTGCGCAAGGTTTTTAAAGGCACTTATCCATTTTATGAAACTTAACTTTTGTCTGTATCTAATATATGTATCCCATGTGCATGAATTTGTTTAACAGAGCACAGGTAAGCAGCAGTACATCACAATAGACTGAGAACCAGCCAGTAAACGAGAAAACTGTGTCCCACCCCTTTGAACTGTGGAGCTGCCATTCTCATTCAAGTTACCCTGCTTATCCTATGTAACTTCTGCATCATCTGACACATTGACTAAATGAGAGTGCACATGTTAGCCTGCACATGAATATTAATATAGCCTATTTTATTTTTTCTTCTTTAGATTAAAAACAAATATATTCAGAATTTCAAATATTTTGTCTTATGCCCCTGTGGATTACCTTGTTCATCCTGTGAGGCAGGTGCATTCTATTTTGGAATCTATGGCTTTGAAAAAGAGAAGTCTCTGAAGAAGGGAAGTGAGATGGCCAGATGTGAATTTTTGATCATTTTCATCACTGACCCAAATTTAGCAATAAAGTTGTATTGAGAAAGACTAAAGTCAGGAAGGCCAAATAAGAGGTTATTCTTTATTGTCCAGGCCAGAAACTGTGAGGTATGGCAGGAGTGATGTTATGATAGAAATGAAACTCAAAGTTCAAGAGTTGGTGAATCATTAGTAGCTACTAAGGTAGAAGAAAGAATGAGGAGTGACTTTCTGATTCCTAACTAAAGAACAGTTGTTGGTTTGTTTTGTTTTTTTTAACTTTCAGAACAAAGAATGAATTCTTATATGCTATGTTGCTTTTTCCAGGGGGGGAAAAAGTCATTGGTGGTTTTATTCCTTCCTGATACCATGAAGTATCTGTAGCAGTGTCTTCATTCATTTTATAGATACTCCCCTGGAGCCTACACCTGCACTAGACACTGATTCTTTGCAAATATCAGATAAGGTTATCCTCAGGCCTGCATTCAATTCTTATTTAATATGATTCTCCTAAAATGGGAAGTCAATAATTTTTCATCATGAGAGTAAAAAAATGAGGATTATCTTCCCAATACATGATAAATGTTATATGGAAATATAGGCGACTTGTCGTGTGCATCCTGTGTTTGGTTCATTGATGCTGTGTGTCTTGCCTTTAGCTGGGATGACAGCAGCTCTGTGAGTAGTGGTCTCAGTGACACCCTTGATAACATCAGCACCGACGACTTGAACACCACGTCCTCGGTCAGCTCTTACTCCAACATCACTGTCCCCTCCAGGAAGAACACCCAGGTGAGAATTGCCTGCTTTCTTTCTCCAGTGCTTCTCCCGGGTTTTTTCCTCAAACTGTTTTATCTTAGATTAAAATATAGCACGGCCTCTGAATCTGATATAATTGTATAAACAGAAGCAGCTTGTGTATATGTATTTTTTTCTATTGATTACAAGCCAACTCAGAAAGACTTATTGTACCATATCTCTTTTTATAACATTGATATTTTTAACCCTAAAAATTATTTTAATAGTCTCATTTTAGATAGTTCTTGATTAATTTTATATTGATCTCTGAAATAAATTACTATATCTCTTGAGAATGGTAAATCAAGAATGAATATTAAGATAATTAAGTTTTATCTTGTCCTCCTTTCCTTTGTTAAATTTGACACAGAAAATTCCTTCCGCTATGGAGTGTTTAATTGGGGTTTTCTGCACATATTTATTCTGACATTCTCTAATATGTGCAAGTGAGAATTATGTGGCTAAAATTAATGAAACTTAAATGAAGACATAGATAAAAATAGGAGTCTTTGGAATTCTTTTGAAATATAAATCAGTGCTGCTTTTTTTTTTTTACCAGTTATTTAAAGGTACATTCCAAGACCTATTATAGATTTTTCTGCCCAAAGTTTCTTTGTGATATTTTCCCCATAGCTGAAGACAGATTCAGAGAAACGCTCTACAACAGACGAGACATGGGAAACTACTGAGGAGCTGAAAAAAACAGAAGAGGACTTCGACAGCCATGGGGATGGCGCTGGCAAGTGGAAGGGTGTTTCCTCAGGACTTCCTGAAGACCCCGAGAAGACAGGGCAGAAAGCCTCCTTGTCCATCTCACAGACAGGTTCCTGGAGGAGGGGCATGTCTGCCCAAGGAGGAGCGCCATCTAGGCAGAAAGCTGGAACGAGTGCACTCAAGACCCCGGGTAGGCTTGTCACTTCACAGCTGTTATGCAAAAGTGTTTTAATTTATGGTTTCCATTCCATCTTTGTTCTCTTTAATAATAGCTTTATTTTTAATTAAATCATATTCTTCTCTGTGCAGTTATTCTTTCCCATGTAAATTTCACACACTTTACCATGTAAGTCCACATGAATGTGACAATCTAGGCATTCTTCAGAGAGCACCATTATAATTTGGGGCTATTGAGTGTCTTTATTCTGCCAGAGTCATTTCTGTTCATGTGGAAATAAAAGAAGTCTGCTTAATAAAAATAAGATTGCTTTCCTTCTGCCTTCCTTATGAAAGTTTGGAATATTTATGTTAAGTATGCCACTAATTTTCACTATCATCACTGAGAGGCAAGAGTAATCACACTAATGTAATGGGTTGGAATGCTGGAGATTTGAAACATCATTTGTGAATTATACTTTATGAAAGAAGAGAGTGAAAGACTTCTGCCAAATTGTACCATCTTTTTTTTTAAGATTCTTTCCCTATTTTTAAAATGGTGCCTAATTTTAAATAGTGCCACTTAAGTAGTGTTGTACCAGGGGACTCTAAATATAAGCATCTTACCAGATATTCAAATGAATTCTTTTTCTAGCATTTAGCTTGATAAGATTAAGTGCTATCCTGATAAAGGGAGAGAGTTGTGAGATATAAGACAATAACAAACTGCAAAAATATGTGCTTTCATTTTATCTCCTTCAGTACTCGTCACATTTCCTCTAAGAACCATGTTTTTATAGCTTTGTACGCAATCCTCTCGATATACTAAAGCACATACCTATTGAGATCTAAATAAATAGTTAGGAACTGAAGTAATATAAAGATGTATTCACATTTTTACACGTCATTTAAAGAAGAATTACTGTGTTAATCAAAATGTGCAGGCATGTATATTTGTGTATTTCTCATTCATTAGGGAAAACTGATGATGCCAAAGCTTCTGAGAAAGGCAAAACTCCCCTGAAAGGATCATCTCTACAGAGGTCTCCTTCAGATGCTGGCAAAAGCAGTGGAGATGAGGGGAAAAAGCCCCCCTCAGGCATTGGAAGATCCACTGCTCCCGGCTCTTTTGGATTTAAGAAACCAAGCGGAGTAGGGTCATCTACTATGATCACAAGCAGCGGAGCGACAATAACAAGTGGGTCGGCCACCCTGGGTAAAATTCCCAAATCTGCTGCCATTGGTGGGAAGTCAAATGCAGGGAGAAAAACCAGTCTGGACGGATCCCAGAATCAGGATGATGGTGTCCTGCATGTGAGCTCCAAGACCTCCCTCCAGTACCGCAGCCTGCCCCGCCCTTCAAAATCCAGCACCAGCGGCATCCCTGGCCGAGGCGGCCACAGGTCCAGCACCAGCAGTATCGATTCCAACGTCAGCAGCAAGTCGGCTGGTGCCTCCACCTCGAAACTCAGAGAACCCACTAAGATTGGGTCAGGGCGCTCGAGCCCCGTCACTGTCAACCAGACGGACAAGGAAAAGGAAAAAGTAGCTGTCTCAGATTCAGAGAGCGTTTCTTTGTCAGGTTCCCCCAAATCCAGCCCCACCTCTGCCAGTGCCTGTGGGACCCAAGGGCTCAGGCAGCCAGGATCCAAGTATCCTGACATTGCCTCACCTACATTTCGAAGGTAAGAATGTGTGAAACAACGCAGGGAAAATAGAAAATGCTATACTGTAGGATACACAGGAACCGTTTAATAAATATAAATAATCTATGTGTGTCCTGAATCCTATATCCTAAATATATATATATATGTATATATGCCCTAAATATATGTTCTAAGGTTCATATATCTTAGCATCTGAGTACATGAGTTCTAAAAAGCCGATCTTATAGATAGCTGGGGAAAAAATGGTGCTCATTTTGAGAAATGCTCAAACTTCTCAGTCCCACTATCATTCTAATATTAGCAACACAAACAGCATTTATAAGAAACTTAAAAGCAGATGGCAACACTGAGGGGTAGTGATAAAATAAAGTAATCGCTTGTAAAATTTCCATAGATTTCCATCTCTCCTTTCCGCAGTTAAAAATAAAACAAAAGAGGTGTTCATGACTATGGGTATTCATTTCCAGTGTTTATGATCTTGCTGGCTCTTAGTGAGTCAGTGATCATGAATGTAGATGAAATTGTTTTCCTTGTCAGAGATTAGATTGGACAGATTGATGCAGTACCATATCTTAATGTATTAATGAAAATCAAGGTATGATATCCTGGAGAGAACTTGAAAACATTTGGATGTTTCATATAGGGTAACAACTCAGGAATGGACGAGATTTTGTAGCTTCATCAGCTTTCTTTGAAAGGACTCTGCTAAGCAGCATAACTTGGTTTCTATATAGGGACTGTCTTGGTACTAAATATGTAGAGTTCTGCTGTGAGATATCCTTGTTTTTAAATACTAATATATTTTAAGTGGCAGGAAAATACATAGTGTTAAAGACTTGGGACAAATGGTTAAACCTCTCTGGGTCTGTTTCCTCATCTATGAAATGATAGAGTATGATTTATAGTCCATTACATGTTAAGTATTTTTAATGTTTGTTTTTATTACAATGAATAAACCAAGAACCTTGATAACTGGGAAATAAAGGGCCTTGAAACATTTTCATTTCAAGCAATCTCAGGTACATGATTGTTTGAAAACCGAGAGGTTATATTCCTCAGTAGAAATATTAATTCTGAAAAACTGGCTTTTTGTAATGTTGATTCTCACTGGAAAGAATAATGACTTGCAGTGGAAGTTAATTATTTCTGTTGCTTAAATAAAAGCCAATAGTGCCCTCCAGTGGCCCATTACCTATGAAACAATTTCTCATATTCGTCATGAAATATTTCACTCTAGGAAATATGGATTTCATTGCAACTTAATTAGTTAGTAATCATTACGCCATTACTTCATATCACTTTATTTCCATATTTACATAAATTCGATTATATCATCTGCTTCATTTACAAAACTAAAATGTTTTCTGAACTGAACTCCAACATGAGTTAGCACCAACTGTGTTTCAAATCACTATTATAAATATGTACTTGAATAGCACTGGCAACTGACATAAAACCTTTGGTCTTTCTTGAGGAAAATGCACACCAACGAACATGTTGCCAACAGTGTCCAATCTTATTTCTAACCAACTGCCCTCTGACCGTCACTCAGGTCACCAGATATGTAACATAACCTCCTAAACCTTGCCTTAAGCATTCCTTTTAGTTAAACTGTTACAATGAAAAAAAAAAGAAAGAAAAAAGAAACAAATTTTAAGTGTTCTATACCGAATGCGTAGAAGTTGTTTCATTATAATGGATCTGTAAATAGGTAAGAGCAAGTGTGCTCAAACGCTTTAATTTTCTCGAAAGATTCTCATGATCACTTACCCTGTGAAAGCCAAGGCTTTTCATGTGTGATCTGCTTTTGTTTTGCCCCTTTCCCCCCCACCCCCTGGGTGGACGCCCAGTACCGATTTACCCATATGGTGATAAGAGAGATTTTTTGGCACAAGATTAAGAAGTTCGAGCTTATAAAGTTCATTAACGCAGAGACGGGAAGTGCTCGGTAGCTCGGTACGCCAAAGCACGCTTGGCTCTGTGTACTGTAACCCTAAATATTAAATGTGGATATTAGTCTCTCGGAACAACTGAAGTTGTTATTTGTTTTTCTTTTAGGTTGTTTGGTGCCAAGGCAGGTGGCAAATCTGCCTCTGCACCTAATACTGAGGGTGTGAAATCCTCCTCAGTAATGCCCAGTCCTAGTACCACATTAGCGCGGCAAGGCAGTCTGGAATCACCGTCGTCCGGTACGGGCAGCATGGGCAGTGCTGGTGGGCTAAGTGGCAGCAGCAGCCCTCTCTTCAGTAAGCCCTCAGACTTAACTACAGACGTTATAAGCTTAAGTCATTCGTTGGCTTCCAGCCCAGCGTCGGTCCACTCTTTCACATCAGGTGGTCTCGTGTGGGCTGCCAATCTGAGCAGTTCCTCTGCCGGCAGCAAGGACACTCCGAGTTACCAGTCCATGACTAGCCTCCATACGAGCTCTGAGTCTATTGACCTCCCCCTCAGCCATCATGGCTCCCTGTCTGGACTGACCACAGGCACTCACGAGGTGCAGAGCCTGCTCATGAGAACGGGTAGTGTGAGATCTACTCTCTCAGAAAGGTGAGCTTTCCTAGAGGCATCGGTGAAGTCTTCACTCCGTCCTCCCCACACTGTGCCTACCCTCCTCCCCCACCAAATTCCCTTGTTGTCAGTGGGAATGCCACTCTGCAAAGGAACATAAAATTGAAGGGGTAGAAGATTAAGGAGACCGGGCCTTTTGTTTGCTCTTACTACCAAGTTCGTAGAAGGAAAAAAAAAAAAAAACCATGAAGAATAGGATAATTGTATAATTAAGTTTCTTAATATGAATGCGTACATATGTACCAAACAGGCAATTTGAATGAAATTCAAAGCATGGGTTTATGTATTAAATGATGTCTTCTCAAGACGTGTTGATGATCTGGCCTCAGCTCCAAGACAACGTAGCTCCTTATGATAATTTGAGCTTTTTTAAAGACCAAATTTAAATGGGTTCTACAATTATGCTCTGAGCAATATGTTAAGTTTGCTTTATTAGCACTTCTGTAGGAAAAGAGCAAAAAGATCACTGGGGAATCCTAGTTGAATTGGAAAAAAAGTCAATTGTCAGATATGAATTCTTAGAGAAAATTAATAGCACTAGTGATATTTTTAATAGGCCCTTGAAAATAAATCGTATTACAAGGTGTTTCCCATTGGTTTAAGCAGTTGTGTTTTTTTTTAACTTACAATGAAAAACATAAAGAGGCATTCCTTACTGAATATACTTACCTGAAAGTGTCACTGTTAACCAAAATGCCTTTAGATTCTCTCACCCCAAAAATCCTTTCTCAGGTATTTTGGTACTAACTCTTTCTCCCTGGAAAATGTCCTGAAATTACCTCTTTTCCCAGATAAACTTGATGTTATTTGTTTCCTGACACACCTAAAGCTTTTAAAAATGCTCTTGGCCACATGTCTTAGTTGTGTTATTTGTGAAAGCACCACTGGCCACTGAAAATGCCTGGTATCATTCCCTAAGCTTTTGTTCCGTCTGTTACTGAGGATGACATATCACCTCTTTTCCAGACTTCCAGCCTTACTCGCAGATTCATTTTTTAAAACATCGACTAAAGCTCTTACCTAGACTCTCACCACATTGCAGTAGTTGTCCCCTAACCCAAAATTTCCCATTGCTCTTCCGTTTCTCTTGCCTTCATGAAATGCAAACCATCGCTTTCATCCCACTGTACCTTCCAGCCCCCTCATGGACACGGACAGCCGTGCCCATGAGACAACCCCCGATAAAACAATTTTTGAACTGAAATATTTATGCTTATTAGTTCTTATGGTGGGCTGCTAATTACAAAATAATATTTTTCTTCATGAACAAAAACCTGGGCCAAGAGACACAAGAGAAACAGCTGGGGAGGTAGAGACTAAGGTGTAGGCGTTTGCATCTATGTCCCCTCTAGTTTTGTCATTATAGATAGCATATGTAAAGACCAACTACATACACGAAAACATTGGTTGTAAGTACTATTTCATTTAAGTTTTTATCTCAGAAGTTAGGCTTCCTACGGCACCTTGGATTTGAGTTTCCACACTTTAAGGTAAATGGGCACCCTCATATGTCATTTTTAAGACTTATAACAAGTAAATCAAATTATATTGAAAATCTGTTAATAACCTATAGTTTTAATGAATGTATCTTTGATTGTATACTGATATGCGAGGAGTCCAAATAACAATTTCATAACCACACTGCAAATAGGTCATTATTTATTAACCCAAGTCATCCTCCAAATTACTGGTTTTTTAAATCACCAATATGGCTGCAATAAGTTGACCATTTAGCCATCAACCTATTTCTCTGGCCTTCAGATATTAAAAAATCAGAAAAGTAGACAAGTAACTATTTGTAACAAGTAATCTTCAAATCAAACCAGAGTATAAAATTGAGCTTTATAGATACAAATGCAATGTTAATATTTTACTTTATCTATATTTTAGCAGAAGTCAACATACATTTTCCCTTAGAAATACACTGGCAAATATGTAGTCACTTTTTTTCTTTAAGCAAATCTTGTTGTTGATCAGTTTTTGAAATAGGCTGGCTTTACGAATGGGAGTGTTCCAGTATTAAAAATAGCCAGATAAACAATTTTTCTAAAGTAAACGTTAGGCTAATTTAAAATAAATGCATATTTTGCCCTTGATTCTTAGTGAAATGTATTGATGAATATTAAAGTGTGAAAAATAAAATACTTTCATAGGTATAATATATGATATAAATATTAATTAGTTCCTCCCAGGAAATTACTGGATCAAAACCATTTTTGATATGAGAAGGTGTACTTTTTCTTTCTTGGGAACAAAACTGCAGGCAATAGCAATTTATTCTAATCCTTTAAGTACATTCAAGAAAGTTTATGATCTATTAAAGAGAAAATGAGATCCTGTCAGAAATCCAGGCTTAATTAGAATTAAGCGGTAGCAGAATGTTGGGAATGCTAAGCAAACCAAAGAGCCATACCTGACAGAGAGTGTGCTAACGTGTAGATATTGTAAACAAAGTAATTAAAGTGATATGATAGAGATGTGTATAAGTTCATGACTTACCCGTTTGTCTACAATTTCAAAATATTTTACTGATATATTCATATCTTAATATTACCGAATCAATAGTTTTTCATAAAGATTTTAACTTTGTTCAAATTCCTTTTTCATTAAAATGTCATAAAATAATAAATAATCACAAAAAGTTCTTCAGTAATTTTCCCTCTAGCTGCTCCAAATCATTGGTGGCCCTTGAGCCATAACCAGTTCCCAGTTATTTTGTTTAGTTTGTTTTGCTTTTTGTAACCTAACCAAACTTTAAAAATAATCTAAAGTAGTAACCAACTTTACAAATTGCTGGCTCATTTGGAAATATAAGATCGAGCAACCCTGCCTTCACAATCCGGCAGAGCATCTGTTGGCTTTAAACAGACAGGGCCTGACCTCCTCAGACTGTTGGCTAACATCCCCCTCTCCCTCCTCGCCACCGCTTGCCTGGCCCTTGCAAGCATAAGAGTGTGTGACCTTTCAGGGTGTGTGGAAAGTGTCTACTGTATTAAACCATTAGTATCCAGAGTGAAACAGATATTTCTACTTAGAGTTTTAACTTATATTGGTAAATTTAAATGTATTCTTCTGATTTTTCCTTCATTAAATTCTCTGCGTGTTATAAACATATGCACTTTATACAATTGATAATTTTGGCAAACAATGTTTAATAAATCTGCACGCATGAAAAAGATAATCTTTAAAATGGCTGGTGACCCTATAAATGCTTTAGCACAACTGTAGTTCATAGTTATAGGTTTTTCATATTTGTTCAATCTGATTCCTTTTTGTTTGCTTATGCACACTACTAAAAAACCTTATGTAGTCAAAATGCGTAGTAGAACTGGCGTCTACATAACAGAGTAATTACCTTATGTGGACATTCCCAATAAATAAAGTCATATAATGTCTTTGGTTGCTTTCTACTGCAGTGCTAAATAATGGAGTACACATAGAAGAAAACATTTTAGCTTTGGTTTTGAGCGATTAATTTTCAAGTCAATGTGTTTGCATTTGTGTTATATCATCCCCATTATGCGTAGCCTGTGTATTTATTTTTGATCATTGGAGGTTCTACTGGAAGAGAGCTGTCATTCTTCAAATTCAAATTAATTGTATTCTTTGGTTATTCATATGCCAGAAGTTATAACAGAAACCATAGACTTGTCCCACTTAGCTGTTGACACCCTCTTCTATTTTTAGAGAGGCCATTTCTCATTTTCTCCAGACACATCCTTTCATCCCTTTTTATGACCAGTTGAGAATTCTTTAAAATAGAGACTGATAAAACTTATAACCTTTTAAATACCTTACTTCGAATTTCTAAAAGATGGCATAGTTCAGTTCTATAAAATATTTAAATAAATGGTGCCAGAAACGTTACGTTTCAAGCAGATATTTATTATATTTTACTTTTTTCTCTTCTAAGCAAATGGAATAGATCCGCCTTTGTTTTTATTAAAAATAATGTGAATACAAAAATTAAGTATTAAAAATGTGTTTTATATCTCCTCTGCCCATTAGAAGTTGTCACTTTAACTCAGGGAGAGCAGATCTATCTGATTTCCACCTATGACTCTCCTGCATTTGAAATCACAGTGAAAGTCTAATCAGTTGCACAGGGAAGCAAAAATTACCATAGCAGTAGGTAAATAGAACCTATAGGGGAATTACATCAACAAATGACTTAATCTACCTGCTCATAATCCTGTCACTAAATTATCACCAAATGTATTACAATAATAGACATCTGGTCACCTTGGTTGGCCTTTTCCAATAAGTTAAGCATTAAATATGTGTTACAAAAATTTTATTTTGTGAAGTTTAAAGAACCATTTTTGTTGGATGTGTAATTTGGAGGTTTTGTTTGCATTATGTCCTTAGGGGTTTTCTTTGTTTTAACAGCATGCAGCTTGACAGAAATACACTACCCAAAAAGGGACTAAGGTATATATTTCTTTCAGCACAATTGCTGCCTTTCTCTGTTGTTACGTAAACTTTGTGTGCTGTCTCTCTCCCTCTTTCTTTCTTTGTTTGCAATGAAGTATCTGCCGTTGAGGATGGCATCACTTTAATCCCGATATTTTCTCTGGCCTGAGGAGTTGGTGAGATAAGCCTCCAGTTAGAGATACCAGTAGAGGTCAAAACTAAGTAAATTAAAATTAAATCCAGTCTAATATCATTATTTGGGGAGCAGCAATTTTTGGTAGATTTCTGAACTCACTTCTATAAATTAAAATAAAATTAACTTCCCTAACTTTTGCATCTTGGAGGCATATGCTTGCAAAACCGCAACCCATATAGTCTACAGATGTGGCCAGTTAATGTTGAAAGGTTGAAGGATGCTCTAATTTGAATCAAAGAAAATATATTTTCATCATCAGAGGACAAATACTATAATTAAGGTATGAATTTTTAAAGAATCCTTTTGGTAAAAACTCAAAAGAGTTTTCATTTCGGTTTTTCAAGAGTGCTAGTCAATTTAGATATGAATTAGTCTAGTATAACATAATAATCTCAAAATCATCATTCAGTTCATCATAAAAACTAAAATGAAAATTTAATCCATGGCCTTCCTTTACTATACAGTTTTATCTGAGGAGAGGATATAAAATGAACTACTAATAGAGGGATAACACATATGAACTTAATGAGTTAACTGTTCTTTGATGTTAAAAATTTACTTACTCTGGTGAAAATGAGCACTGGCCAAACAGGTCTTTCCCGGTTATCCTTTTTCTTGCTAGTCCCTTAGTAATAACAAACAGCCTGCAATTATTCCATTTCAAGATTTTGTTTCAGAAATTTATTTTCCACGAAAGTGAACCCATTTTTTCCCTTTTTTAAAAAAAATCAAGACATGATGTCAAGTGCCATTTTAACCAAATAAATGTGTGGGTTTTTTTTTAATGTTTTCCTTTTTTTTTTTGTTTTCAAAAAAAAGATCTGTCAATTTGTGTTCCATTTCCTATGCTTTTCTGTGGCCATCATACCAGTTCCCTTGGCCGCTGGCCTAGCACCGTCTCCCAGATTTAGTCTGTGCTTTCACCCTCTTCACATCCTTCCAAGCACTGTGCTTTTGAGTCCTTCTCAATTAACTTGGCTGTCTGCTCATTGCTTATGATTTTCAACTACATATCTCACAGAAGCATAATTTTCCTTTCAAAATCCTTTATTTTTTTTTCCTGTGAGATTCACACAGATGGTGTCAGATCATCTGGAAGAACTAAGCAATTATAATTAGATTCAATCTGTTTGAGAACGTTGTTCAGTCTGAATAGTAAGCTCCTCTCAACTGTTTTCTTGTCCTGGTATTGCCTTGCCCTCATCGATGTGCTTCAGTGTCTTAGCTTTGCTGTTTTGCAGATACACTCCATCATCTCGGCAGGCCAGCCAAGAAGAGGGCAAGGAGTGGCTGCGCTCCCATTCCACCGGAGGGCTGCAGGATGCTGGCAACCAGTCCCCTCTGCTCTCCCCTTCTGCCATGTCATCTTGCGCCACAGGAAAATATCACTTTTCCAACTTGGGTAAAATATTCTAAACACGATTTCATCTTGTTCCTTTGGCCACCTGCCCTCACGGGAGTGCTGGGATCTCTCCAGAAAACGTGTTCACTTAAGGAAAAGATAGAGACACCTTAAGAGTAGCTTTCATTTGTTTAATGGCTGGCTATTCACAGAATACTTTCTAAATGATACGCAGTTTATTGCTCATGACCACAACTTGACACAGGTACTACTGTTGTGATTTTATAGTCTAGGATCCAGAGGCACAGAGAGGCCATTTCACTCATAAAAAGGTCACCACTCGTAAGGGCCAGAGGCAATAACTGATCCCAGAACACCTGACTTTAAGCCTAGAGGGTTTTCTCAGAGTCCTCTTAAAAAACAATAAAACAGGGGAGCCTGGGTGGCTCCGTTGGTTAAGCATCTGCCTTCGGCTCAGGTCATGATACCAGGGTCCTGGGATCAGGCCCTGTTTCAGGCTCCCTGCTCAGCAAGGAATGTGCTTCTCCCTCTCCCTCTGCCTCTCCCCCAGCTTGTGCCCTCTCTCTCTCTCTCACTCAAATAAGTAAACAAAGTCTTAAAAAAAACTGTTAAAAAAAACAATAAAAATTCTCCTTGTCCTTTGTTTAAAATGTTTTTTTTAAATCCTTAACAAAATTTATCATACTTTTGTAGAAAAACAAAATATAAATAATTAAGAAGAAAGAAAAAGTAACTCCATGACTTTTAAGATCACTTCTTTACAGGTGATCAAAATGAATACCATTTCAAAACTCTCCTTAAAATGAATATGAGTATTCCCTGTGAAGATTTTTGGAAAAGTGCAATGAAAAAAAAAAAAAGACAAATTTAGCCATTGCATTACTTTGTGCTTAGCATCATTTGTATGAAATGTAAAATCATTTGTATAAATGTCACAGAAAACATAGGGAAGAGTGACAAAGTAATGAAAGAAGTTTAAACATGCCAGTTCTAATTTAATAGATCCAATTCTTTTAAAAATAGATTTCTGTTCTATAAAATCACATATAAAGTAGTCTCATTATTATCTTTTTTGTCTAGTAATGGACCCACCAATTGTCCAAATTCTTCAATTTTTTTCAATCCTTTAGGACACTCACGGCTCTTTCTCTTCTCTTATAACTCTTCCTGCTTTACAGATTAAAACTTTGGCAATGGAAAACAATTATTTTGGTCATGGTTCCATATGAGCTAATGAATCCCTATCAAACACCAAGTTTTTGCTGCTGCATCTACACAGTGAGGGACTTCTTTGTCTCATAATGGCAACAGATGGTATAGTTTTTACTTACTTTGAATTGTAATTATAAAACATAGCAAGAAGCTTAAAATTTTAACTTCAAAAAATAAATTGAAAATGTTTTTTATAGTCATAGGAATATGAAATAAACTCTAATTTTATGCAACATCTGAAACAAACCCAAACCCCCTGAAATGCTGAGTTTGCTAGTTGTCTTATGTCTCCTATCAATCTTTTTAATGCTTGACATTAATTTGACTAATTGAATCCTTACCCCATTATTTTCTCATTTATATTGTTCTGATTAAATCCATCTGTTCCATTATTATTTAGAAAAAAAATGCTCACCACTTACTATATCTGATCTTGGCAAAGTCAATTTCCTCATCTGTGAAATGGATCCAAAATTCCTAGGTTTTATTATGGAGGAACTAACTTATGTGTACCAAGACTCAAGAGAGTATAAGACTTAATAGACCTTGCTACCTCATCATTTTTATTGGAAAGCATGCCTTACGTTATCAGAGACAATAGCAGTGGATTTCAAATTGACCTTACTGCCTCTACCATCATTTTCAACATTTGCACCCATTGGGACTTATAAAGGAAGACCTTCCGATACATGTCAACAGATTCTCATGTGCCCACCCAAATTTTATAAGCGTATATGGCTTCAAATCAGGTGTTCTGAGGTCTCTATGCTGTGTTATTTTAAAGAAAAAAATGACCAGTTTTAAAAAGATGCAAATTATTTTTTTAGAACTTTTTATTGTGGGTGGCTCAGTCGGTTGGGCATCAGACTCTTGGTTTCGGTTCAGGTCATGATCTCAGGGCTCATGAAATCGAGCATGGGGCTCTATACTCAGCACAGAGTCTGCTTGGGATTCTCTCTCTCTCTCTCCCTCTGCCCCTCCCCTAACTCATGTGGTAGCTCTCTCTCTCTCTCTCAAATAAATCTTTAAAAAAAACCAAAAAACCTTTTTATTGATTTCCAGGTCACCTGAGTTTATATTTACTAGGCAAGACTGTGAGTACTATTAAAATGTAATCATAACTAAAGATTATTTTATTATTAAATTAAAAAAATATATCAAATGGAATTTTTTTAACTTGAATATGGATAGCATTGTCTTGCAGTTCACTTTGGTCATCATTTGCCTTCAATTTAATCATTATCTCTTCTGAAGGATCAGCAAGTGATTATTACTAACATTCAGCAATTGCAATACCTGTGTTTTTTCTATCCTTTCTACTTATTAAAATATCTTAATACATATAATTTTTAGAAATATTACTGTAAAAAGTCATGTATAACAAACAGAAATTTAAGATCACTTCAGTTACATCATCAGTAGAGTAGCATGAAGCTATTGCCAAAGTAAGCTGTGGTCTGTGTCGTTCCTGGTATGTATGATACCTGTAATAGAAACATTCCACTCAAGAAAGTGAATCAGAATATAACTTACGGAAACAAAATACATCTTTGTTTGAAACTTTATTGGTCATTGCCCTTGTGAGACATCTCATAACCTGGTGAGACTCATTGTCATCTTCCCATGGGTGACAACAATTACTCAGCTTCACTTTTCACCATGCTGCAAGGGTTAGTATGTAGAAGTATTACTACCAGCCTCTCACCTACGAGTTCTATATATTTGTTGGACCCTTTTGCATACAGAGTATTGTTTAAACAACTTTATAGGGGAAGTTTCTATGCTTTTGCGTCCAAGGGTTCCTCCACCTTGAATGCCCTTCAACTCCTCTCTCCATATTCACTTTTCAAGCTATTCAGAATTAACCCCCTTCTTCTATACTCATGAAAGCATAGAACCTGAGAGATGGGAGACACCTATCTCTGGTTCAATTATTCAACTATTAGTTAAATTCTTAAGACATTTCTAGCTTCTTCTCTAAATCCACCCAGGACAGAAACTACCTGAATCTAGATATATCACACTTTTGAAGTTCCTCTTTAAAAAAAAAATCAAATAAAATTTTCTTGAATTTCTACCTAGTTCCTAGCGATAGTCCCAGATTCCACAAAATAAGTTAAAATAAGCTTCCATATGAATACTCTTATTTTAAAACAATATCATAAACTCACTAGCTAATATGTCTGGATACAGTAGCAAAGTCAAAGAGAGACCTTGAGGTATTTAAAAACCCACTCCATATTTCTATCAGGTCCACTCTCCTCAAATCCCAGAAATCAACATTTAATTTCGTAAAAACGGGTTTTGCTCTGAAATATAATTTAAGATAAAGTCAGCAGCCCCCTTTTCCCTAACATATGGTCATATCTATATCTCTCCTTTTAGAAATTTGGCTGTATCTCTGAGCTTTGAATGAGCCCAGAGGTCATTTATTCTGCCATTTTTAAAAATTATAATTCATGAAGAAACTGAAGGGTAGAGATTGGGATATTTGCCTGAAGCAAATGGAAAGCAAAGCCAGTATAGAAGCCCTGTGTTAATTTGTGTACCATTGCTGAAATTCTCTCTTTCCGTCATATTTTTGTCCTATAATTTTTCTTTGCTTATTAACTTTTCTACCTTTCAGTCACCTCTGCTAGTAGCCACTGTTGAAGTCAGAGCCACGCTATATTTATCTTTCTATTCAACCACAGCCCCAAAAAAGCAGACCTGTCATAGACGTTAATGTAACTGAACATTCTTAAATAGTATGGGTATAGTTTCAATGCAGAAGCTGTCAAAAGTGTCTGTAAATGCAAACTATTTGCTTTAAAATTCACCGTAATCCTCATTATTTCTTGGATGATTTAAGTCACATGTTTTGAAATTATAGAAAGACAATTTACTTGGATAGCTCTGCAACCATTATGCAAAGCCAAAGAGTGAATGAAATGACCTTCTCAGCTCTAGATACATATTAACGTAATACATTTACAAATGTGTTGAATACTTCATTCATTTAGCAAAGAGACAATCCATACCGTGGACATAGAATAGGATGATTTACTCCAGTCCAGGTACTCTAGACATAAACGTTCAAGTCTAGAATGTCCTTCAGCGTATCTATAGTCAGTCAGTTAGCAATCAAATTGAGTTAGTCACTGCTGGCTGAAGGAATGTGCCTAAAAGATCTCTCTCTCTCTCCCTCCCTCCCTCTGTCTCCTTACTCTCCCTCACTCTCCCTCCCCACCCTCCCTTCTTTTCTTCTTTCTTTCCTTCTTTCAGAGCTTTGTTCCTTCCAACAGATCGCACACTTTACAAATCCATAGTTTCTTTCACCTTTTATTGTATTTCACATATGCACCCACAGATATAATTCTAAATCTTGTATTTCTTTCCTTTTTCTCATTCCAATCCAGAATCGCTCTATCAGAGGGTTGTTCTGCATATTAATTCATCAATACCTATAAAATATCCAGCATAGTGCCTGGAAAAAAGGAGACATTCCCTTTCACTTGCCTCATAGTATATATGCCTCCTATTGTTTTGAAAGCCAGTCATTATATTAAAAAGAAATGTGGTGCCTGTGTCAAAGAAAAAAAATAGCAAATTTTGAAATGATAATCAGACTCATTCTAAACCAATGACATAAATTCCCTAAGGTTTTGAAAGTACCCACAGCTTTTGTGATAGCTTAAGAGGTTCCTGCCTGCTTCCTCGCGTCTGTAACAACTTACTTTTCTTAAATATGAGCATTTGTGATAAATATATTTCTCAATTTTGTGCTTTGCTTTTATTCCAAATTTTAAGACTACTGTTTCTGAAGCAGTTGTACGTTCAGTCAACCACATCTTTCTTTAAATTCATGATTATCAGTTGGCCTAAAAAGTTGAGTGTTATTAGAACTCTTCAGCAATAAGCACTAAGTAAATAAATTTTTATTTCAAATTATGAACGTGCTGTACTGCTTGGGAAACACAACAGGTTTGTGACATTTGACAGTCTCACTGTGGTACTCTGGTCTTAGACACTGTAGAAAAGAGTTCAATGTGATTAACCTGTTGATGAGCTATAGAAACCATGCATATTACATTTCATTTAAAGAAAAATTTCATTTTCTTCTTTTATAACTAACTCTGATAATAATGATGGTACTGACCATCAACTTACATAAATTCAGAATGCAAAACGATGAAAGTCTTTGCCTGGAAGCTTCAAAAGGGTCTTCTTGGGACATTTAGATTTCTTGTGTTTTCTTTTCGTTTTGTTTTTTCCATTGAAGGGATGTATTCTCCTTGAAAAGAAACCTACAGACTCTATGCAGGCAATCTTTTCTTCATAATCGCCAGCAGAATATGCCATGCTGTTGTATTTCTAGCACGAACAGTAGAGGTTGCTTGGTGGCTTTGTTTAATATTGCTTTAGAAATTGACATACTGCTGGCCATGAAAGTGTTAGGAGAAAAGAGGGACTCCACTGAAACTGTTATTGAACATTTCAGAGGCAGACTGTCAGCCTACCTTAAATAGAGACACCCATTAAATTCATGTTTCCATAGAACTGGGATCACATTCTCGCTCTCCAGTAGCCTACTATTTTCATCATCTAAGCCCCAGAATAATGAGGTGTGTGCTTTGTTTTTCAGTGAGCCCAACCAATCTGTCTCAGTTTAACCTTCCTGGGCCCAGCATGATGCGCTCAAATAGCATCCCAGCCCAAGACTCTTCCTTCGATCTCTATGATGACTCCCAGCTTTGTGGGAGTGCCACGTCTCTGGAAGAAAGGCCACGTGCTATCAGTCATTCAGGCTCATTCCGAGACAGCATGGAAGAAGGTAGGCTTAGGGGGAAATAAAGACGGAGTTACTTTATTTAACTCAGAGATGAAAATTGTCACATCAGTCGCCATCACAAGGATTCCTGAAGAGTAAATAAATTAGTAAGTATAACTCTCATTTAGGGAGCCCTGAAGCTTAAAGAAGTTTTAGTCTGCATTACCTTCTGTTTCTTTATGCATTTGGAAATATGCCAGAAATTGTTTAGATTAATACTTGGTTATAGAACAGTTCAGAACAAATCCAGTGTTCTCATAGAGAAATCCTCATTATTTTAGATACTATTTGCCCTGGTGTGTCAAATATCAGAGCCAATGTTTTGTTTGACATCTCAGTTAAAGAATCATAAAGATACATAAACCAGAAAAATTATCTTATGAAACTACCACATGTTGCCAACTTGTATTCTCAGAAACTCCCTCTGGTGTTGGTTTCTGTTATCATATCATATTAGAACTAATATTATGTCTACTTTTTGCCTTGTAATTTTGACTTCCTTATCCAATGCAATAAGGTTCTATGTGAATACTTTGTAATACTATTTGAAAAACTCAGGAGGCTTAATTGATGTTCAAATGTATGTGATTTTTTTAAAACTGTATAACTACAGGTGTGAAATCTGATAATATTTGAGAGATTTTCCTCTTTGATTTAATGAATTATTATTTTAAAGTATCCATAAAGGAAAATTGTGGCACACATATTACAAAGCATATCAGCTAAGGATAAAATAAAGGTAAACATAAAAGTTATTTAAACTTTGATCAGAATAAAATCAGACATTTGTACCTTTGGGGCAAATACCTAGTAGTGCAATTGCTTGCCATTTGCAACGATGTGGACGGAACTAGAGGGTATTATGCTAAGCGAAATAAGTCAATCAGAGAAAGACAATTATCATATGATCTCGCTCGTGTGTGGAATTTAAGAAACAAAACAGAGGAGCATAGAGGAAGGGAGAGAAAAATAAAACAAGAGGAAATCAGAGAGGGAGACAAACCATAAGAGATTCTTAAGTCTAGGAAAAAAACTGAGGGTTGTTGGAGGGGAAGAGTGTGGGGGGATGGGGTAACTGGGTGATGGACATTAAGGAGGGCACATGATGTAATGAGCACTGGGTGTTATATACAACTGATGAATCACTAAATTCTACCTCTGAAACTAATAATACACTACATGTTAATTAATTGAATTTAAATAAAATTTTTTAAAAAAGAATAACATCAGACATGAAATCAGCCAACTATCTTAGTCTTTAATAATTATGTATAAAAGAAAGGACTCCAGATCTTGAAACATATCAACTTTTAAGCCTCTGGGTCATCCATTTATTTGTGGTATGAACTTGGGCCAATTTCTTAACTTTATCAGTGCTAATTCCTGCATCTGTAATTTCACAGGTTTGCCATGAAAATGAAATTAGGGAGTAGTTCTGTTCCTTTCTCTTTCTCCTTCCTACTCTCTTAAAGGCTCTTCTGACTAAAAGTTTAGATAGCTATGAAAATTGATTTCATGTTTTCAGGCCACCACTGTACGTTTAATCTGCTAGCACTACATCGGTTGACCATCATTGCCACTACCTTTTGGGATATTAACTGAACCGCTGAGTTCACTGTGACAAATAGTGGATTACATCCCGAGAGTCTGCTGATTGTGGCAGAGTAGATAGACAAAATTGAACTGACTGGAAATGTAAAGTCGTTGCTTTTTTGAGATTGTTCTATCACTCTCTTCACAGACTGGCATATTATAATACTGTAAAAATAATTTGCTAAGCATACTGATGGCTTATCTTGAGTGCCTCATTTACAGATAGAATGCTCTTCATATGCTTGGGAAAGTCTGGCCTTCTGTGTAGGAGGTTTAAATAATCTCAGTTGCTGAGCACCAGCCTGAGTGGGCAAGATGGCTTTTTGATGCCCATACATTGAACACTGAACTATTGTAATTCTTACATTGTGGTCTACAACCAAGGGATTATTGAACTAGCAAGACGGAAGGGGCTTTATTGCTGCCCTTCCTGCTCAGTGATCACCGTGAAGATAAAGAAACAGCCACACACTAGGAGGTCATAGACCTATAAATAGTAAGTAACAGCAACAAACCAAAAATGGGATCTCCTGATTCATTGTCCACCTGTCTTCTGTACACCAGGCTGAAAATCTTAGTGCATACTGGTGCATACTTAGTGCATACTGTTTATTAGAGTTTGGAAGAATGTGGGATTTTGTTTGTTTTGTGTTCTTTAAATGACTAGCATTTTGCCCGTCTCACAGAGTGGTGGCAGTTGCTTGAGCTAGAAATCTGGGAGTTGTCCTTTATTCCTCCTTTGACCCACATTTTTATATTCAGTCAGTTTTAAAGAGGTTCTTCCTAGTGACCCTCAAATTCATCCTTTTCTTTTGAGCCACAACACCACAATCCTACACAGCTTTTCCAATCCTCTCTCCAGACCAGCTTGTGAGCATCTCCCATGTACTCTTGTAGTATCCCTTGCATTGCTCTAGAGAGTATTTTTATTACTCTATTATAATTATCTTCTTAGTTGTATACCTTTCTAGGGTTTTTTTTGAGCTTCTAGGATTGTGTCATCATTTTTATAGTCCCGGGATCTAGGAAAAGCCTGTCACATTGGGTGGGCCCAACTAATGTTTGTTGAATGGATGAATATGCAGAAATAACTTTACATTACCCCACAGTGAAAAGAGGAAGGACTTTTCTACAAATATAATTAAGCACAATTTTACCACCTTTTGGGCTTATCATACTAGATGTGCAAAAATATAAAAACAGTCTATCAATTGTTTAAGATGCTATTTTGGTAGACCTCGATAAAAGACAGTATGCAATTTCCATTCTTAATGTCAGTGAGACACCACCTTGAAATAAACATTTTTTTCTATGACTAGAACTACAAAAGAAACAATAATTCTCCATTTAAAAGAGCATAATCAACTCATCACAGATAATGTTGAAATAGCAAGTTCAATCAAATGCTTCTTCCCCTGAAAGTATATGGAGAAAAACAGTGAAAATGGGTCTTTGTTGTATAAAAATGAAATTAAATAAATAAAACACATAAAGCTTTTTTATTTTAAGTTTTAAAGTTTATGGCAACTTTTATTTTAGGTTTCCATGATATTCTGGTAATTTATTCTGTGGAAGTTTACTATAGCTTTAAATATGCACACAGCATGCTCGAAGGGCTTGTGTTTGTCAAATCCTCTCTCTATCATGATGAAGGAGGTATTTTAGGGTGACAGATATGGGCCCTTCCCATATCTCAACATTTTCACCTTGAGAAAATAACCACAGAACTGTCCTCTGATTCTTATATCTAGCTGTTATTATTTTACTTCCCCGCTTCCCTAGTCTCCACTCTCCAGCAAAGACCCGCTGTTTCTGAGCAGACTTCATTATTTCACCTCTTGTTCTTTTTTGCTTTTTCCAGTTCACGGCTCTTCATTATCACTGGTCTCCAGCACTTCTTCTCTTTATTCAACAGTAAGTATCCGCTGTGAAGATAAAGCTTCTGCCTTTGCCAAGCACGCAGATGATTCAGTAGATTGATATTGACACAAGTTGCACAGTGAGAGAAGAATGTGCGCTGAGCTCCCACATACCCCATCTGCTGGCAGGTGCTGCTGGGCCAGCGCCTCTGTGGTCCACTTAGATGTGCCTTCGCTTGACTTTTGTGTACTTACGAAAATCAGTGAGTGCATTAAAAACTGAATTTTGTAAAACCTATTGGGGGTATGACTGGGAATCCCCGAACCCTATGTACTGAGCTGTACTATAAATTTATGATATTGACAACTTTTCCTTGTTCGGATCTCTGAGCCATGACTGGCAATTGTCCTATGGTATTTTCTCCGTTTTATTATTTTGATTTTTCAAGTTCAGTCTTTGAGAAGATTGTGCCAAAGGGTAAGGGCCTAAAAGGCCTAGAGATTTTTTTAAAAACATATCTTCTGAAATAGTGAGGTTTTTAAAACTATTTCTTAAAAGAGAAAAATGGCAGGCTTTCAACTTATTTTCCCTATGTGTAAAAACAAAAAAGATCTATAGGAAGTTGTATTTAATAAGAGGATTCCTTCATGCCTAGGTAAGAGTGAGGTCTATTTAGTTTACTGAATTTCAATGGGACTTGAGTGCTGTGAATAATCCTTAGTCCAGTACTGAAAGAGTCATAAAAAGTTCAGTCTTGGCTGTCACTGAGCAATTAAGCATGACTGGCAAAACTAATTGTTTTACTCATTTCATTAGGTTTAAATGTTAGGACCCTCCTTTTATAAGCACATCTTGCATAGTTACTGCTTTGGATCTTTACTCAAGATCAGACTACTACTGGGAAAGACAATATTTTTCTCATAATTTCTCCTTTTAATGATTAAATTTGCTAATTACACTCTGTAAATGAAGAAATCACTATTATTGTTTAAATTTATTGCTTTTGGCAAATGGATAAGAAGTGAGAAAGGTGAAATATTTTGGAAAAAAGCACATAAGAGAAATGTGTTAACACTTAGTGTCCCTCCTCATTGGCCCAATGCCATTGCTTGTTAGGGGGATGTGCTCTGACTTAAACCATTGTGGTTGAAGTCTCTGTATAGCATCAGAAGATGCAGCATGATTATAGTACTTTAAATATATGCAAAAACAGTATTTGGATAAAACTGCCTTCATGCAGCCTGAGAAAGACTCAAGAAGAAAAGGAACATGGGTTAAGGGAAAACAAATGGCCGGTTAGTATGTAACCAGAGTCCAATAGTACTTTTTTTGATAATAAAAATGTTCTATGGCTGCACTGTCTAACACAGTAACCTCTGGCCACATGTGGCTCTTGAGGATTTACAGTGTGTCAGGTGTCACAGAGGAACTGAATTTTTAAGTTTCATTAATATAAATTTAAATAGGCACATGTGCCTAGTAGCTACTATATTGGATATTGCAGGTTTACAGAGAACAGAGGGGGTACATTTTAAAAATTGTAGATAGGCTCAGTCGGTTAAGCATCTGACTCTTGATTTAGGCTCAGGTCATGATCTGAGGGTTATGAGATCGAGCCCCACATTGGGCTCCATGCTGGGCATGGAGCCTGCTTAAGATTTTCTCTCTCCCTCTCCTTTGGCCCCTCCCCCTCTTAAATAAATAAATAAATAAATAAATAAACAAACAAATAAATAATTGTAAATAAATAAGAGCAGATGTCAATCAGAAAGCATAAATGAGGAATATTGTAGTAGCAGTATGGTACGAAATGTGAACAGAGATGAAATAAAGTGACTAATATACACATACGTATATGCCAAAATTTAGAAATGAAATACACCCTTGTGTTATGTGTGAAAAGAATGGATTAGGTGATCAAGCCACGTGAGAAGCTGCTATTATTAGGATATTAGGGAATTCAAATAGTTGTACCGAAAATGATGGAAATTATATTCTTGAATTCATAAATAACCTAGAGTTAAACAATTCAAATAAATTCATATTTGGTGGACTGATAAAGAGAAAAATCAGAGATGATGAGGAGTCATTCTGACTTCCATGCCCCATTGTCATGCACTGAGATTCCACTGGCAATGAGAAAATATCTGTGAAAGTGCTTTTTAAACCATGAAGTAAAAAGGCAATTTACCATTATTTTTCACGCCTTCTTAAGGACTGTGGATCAAGATTCAGTTGATTTGGATTGTTGCCTAACTCTATCAGCAGCTATTGTGTGACATCAGGCAAATTGCTAAGTTTCTTTGGACTATACCTATAAAATAAAATTGGAAAACAACAGCCAGATCTATCCCATCTGTCCCATGGGTTTTGTATAAATCATTAGAGAAGACCAGGAATGTTGTATACCATAAATTACAAAAATTATGGTGTACTACATGGTTCTAGGAGCACTGTTTATATCATGGTCTATGTGAATGGCATCTTTTGAAGTTATGCAGTATTCAACTAACACAGCTGTGCATGGCATTCCTTCATAAAATAATTTAAGTGTCTAAGGGGAGAAAAAGTTCTTTTTTTTTTTTTTTTTAAGAAAAATATTAGGCTTGGGATGCCTGGGTGGTTCAGTCAGTTAAGTGTCTGCCTTGGGCTCAGGTCATGATCCCAGGGTCTTGGAATTGAGTCCCACATTGGGCTCCTTGCTCAGCGGGGAGCCTGCTTCTCCCTCTGCCTGCCACTCCCCTTGCTTGTGCTTTCTCTCTCTCTCTCTGGCAAATAAATAAAATCTTAAAAAAAAACATTCTGAACTTAACATTCTGATTAAAAAAAAAATATTAGGCTCTATCTGCTCTTATTAGGCAAACTACTGTTCTTATGAACCATGAGTATGAACCATGTTTACTCTAACATTATCATATATCCAGCTTATAGAATTATATATTTTGCTGTATGCATTTCACTTAAAGATATTAAAACAAACTAGTAAAGATGGCTTGTTGCAAAGAACATTTACCTATAAAATCACCAATCTAACAAATCTCATTGGAAGGATTCTTCCCCTATAGATCTTTTAAAACTTCTATCACTGATAGTTCGGTAAATTTTTCAAAAGTATCTTGTTATAAAGTTGAGTGTATTACCTTACAGAATTTCTGAGCAGAAAGATTCTGGGAATTTGCATATTGGTTGGAAATCACAGACCTAATTTCATCAAGTTGTTACCTTTGGCAAACTTAGAGTTTTTGTGCTTGTGTTTAAATCCAAGCCAACACTGTGAAATCTGGAGCTTTTATCTAAAAATGCAAATTGCTAAATTCTTTTTAATGTAATCGGAATATCTAGCAACACTGAGATTAAATTCCTCCAGGTTTACCCTCCCTTGGCATCCACCGCTTTAGGTGTCGGCCTGTGTTCTCAGGCTGGTTCCTGCCTCCACCACCTCTTCGTTTCTTCCTCAGTTTGGGTTCTTAGTTAATATTGTGCTGTTGCTTTTCTCATAGGAAAGACCTACCCCTTATTACCCACATCTCTATGAAAAGTGGGGAAAATAAATGATAGTTGAGGAAGGCTGTGTGATTTTTTTTTTTTAATTCTCGAGGCTTTTTTTTAATTCTTTATATTCCTGGCCCTTTGATCCTTGCAAAAAATAGGTTCTTTCTGACTGATTGTATATTAAAAAATTTATTGACTCTGTTTTGTACTTGGAATCTAATTTATATTGATTTAATAAGAGCAAAGGTCATTTTTGGTTCATTAGCATATTTCCTAACACACAGGTAATACTGAAGGAAATTTTTTTTTAGTAAGCTTGAATGGGCGAATGAATGGCCAATTAATGGTTTATGGAATAAAGAATCATCGCATATATTTTTATTTAGGCAAAATGTTTTATACTGTCTACCATCCTTCAGGACATTGGGCTTGGTTCAAAACCATCATTTAAAAATGGCAAGTAATCACATTCCTTCATTATTAATCCCAAGCCTAAATCGCTGAAAGAAATATAATATTAATATTCTGCCTCACTGTTTCAAATTGATGATAACACCTTACCTAGTATTAATAGCCACGGGGTATGAAAGAAGGCAAAGACTAAAGAAAAAGATAGTTCTGAATAAACAGTGACAAGAAAAGTCATTATATACAATACCTATAAAATTAATATGTAATGATAATGCTTCTGATTAGTATATATAACTTATTCAAGGCTATTTTTATGAGAAAATATGATGGATATCTTTTTTACTTTTTTGTTAAATAAAATACATTGCTTTTTTTGAAACATACAAATTATTTATTATCAGTTTTATATAATCCTAATAGGCCTTGAATCAGGATTTGGGCAGAATATGGTGGCAATAAACATGCAAAGTTCTAGGGAAAACAGTCATAGTTAATTGTACCATATGTCTTAAGGCAAACAACTCCCAGCTTTTTTTTGCTTTAAGATGAAATTTCCATCTTAAAATTAGCTCCCTACTTCTGATTCACAAACTGTATCTAAAACCTTAAAATTATTAGAATTAAAAAATAAAATCTTCCCTTAAAAATTAAAGTTGAGATGTAAAATATTCAAGTTTTATGTTAGCATTTATTTTTAAAACACAGTTTTCTTATAAAGCTATTAGGATTCTACTATTTAACCACTCTATTATTTAAACACTATATTACTAACTATACATTATTTTTAAAAGTAGAGAAAATACAAGAAAGAAAACACTCAAGAAATGCTATGCATAAAAAATATCTTTATGTTTATTTTACTTTGTTTTATTTTATGTTTTCTGGAGGAAAAAAGGGGGTAAAAAGGAGTTCAGGTACTTCTGCATCGGTTAACCAAGAAATATTCCCAAAGGAGAGAGAGGAAATAAGATTTTTTTTCACTTTGAAATGGCTCACAGCAACGGGCACATTTGTACTGTTCAACGATATTATTCATTCTCCAGCTTTTTCCAGAATAAGGGAGCTTCCCACATGTAATGGTGCACATAACTCCTTATCCGGTGTTTTGCAGCCCCGCACAAAGAAGAAAAACAGAGCTAGGAATTTTCTGCAACTGAGTCCAAAACAGCCTGCAAGTTCCTACAGCAGTCCTCATTTCCATAACGTGTATGACACAAAATGTTTGTCAGCCACCTTTATCACCACCTTGACACTGGGCATTTTACTGTTTTGCTGACTTGCAGCTCAGTAAACTTAATGAATCATCATTAGAGACCATAAAAGAAGATAGAAACTAATAAACTGATTTTCTGTGGTTATCAGTAGAGGTCAATATGTTGCCTCCAGCTTTATTTGGCATTTTTTATGATCTGTAAATCGCAGAATAAAATTCTGACTCCTAAGTCTAGCTGAAGATCTCTCTAATAATCATGGAGTGAAAAATATCTAATGTTTCCTTTTTCCCTACACCCATTTTTTTTAGAGCATAATTTTATAACTAACTACTTTTGGTTTTGTTGCTTATGGTCTGAATCTTAGAGTGACATCATCTTTTAATTCCAGCTTTGCTTTTAAAGCATATTATATATCCTTGAATCAAATAACCTACATTTTCAATATATCATTTATGTATAAGGAAGTATTTATTTGCAATCGTAAAGGTTCCTGTTATAATAATATAATAATACCATCATAATTATAATATATAAATACAATATAACTCTCATAATCATTTATAATGATATTTTAAAATAACTTGTATTTTACTATAATATGTATTTACTAGTCTTATGTTGGATCATAATATTTTAAAAAATACAGTATAATTATACAATGGAGTTATTCATTTATACTTGTGGAGAAAAATGACATTAGTTATTTATAGATAATTTTTTACCTTTTGTCTTTTACAGGCTGAAGAAAAAGCTCATTCAGAGGTAAAATTCGTAGCATTTTCATATTGGACTCTTTACATTTGTGATGAAATGAATGTTTCCACCACTAGAGGGCTCTGTGATACAGTAGCATAGTTCTCCAGGGCTGCTGATGGAAGCAATCCTCTAGTTGATAAGGCCTTGGGTATTTCCTCATAAAGAAAATGAAAGGAAGATTTTAAAAGCAAGCTCTCTTCTCATATTCTAGAATGGAGTTTTAGATCAACAACTAACAGATTGCCTGTAGTAGTAAGCACTCATTAAATCTGATGAATGAATGAATGTGTGGTCTTTCACATTTATTGTAGTCTCTTTTCCCCAATGCCTGTGAGACCAACTGTATAGGATTAATGAAACTGTTGAATCTTAGGCACCAGACCTCCACAACAGAAGCTAGCAGCATCCCAGCGCATCTGTTTCATGCCAGGACTTTGCTGCTCTAATCACCACTTTATGTCTACTGTGATCTGTTGTTCCAATCACATGCATTTCACAAATACACACTTGGTCGCAATCATGTACCAATCAGATTGCAACCTGGAGAGAATATTCTTTTTATTTCCCTTTGTAAAAGAATTGTCCTATCCAAGGAGAGCAGGACTTTAATTAGGCCTTTATTCAAGGTGTGGTAATGACTGTTTGATTGGTTTACGCTGAGGCAATCAGACCACAGAGAAATCAATATCTTGGCAGTAGCCTTTGCAAAGGAACTCCTTGCCCTACTTTGCTTTTAAAGTAAAATTTGTGCTATGTTTAAAAATATCGAAATAATATTGATTATAGCAATTTGATCTTTATAATTGCTAGGCCAAAAAGTGAATATGTTTTAAAAAAAAAACCTAAACTATTTTATTTATATTGCATGGACAGGACAACGCTTCTAATTTGGTCATAATATGGCTACTGAGGTATACAAATGCTGCCTATTTGCCTGATTAGTACTTATCTGACTCCCCTTTGTATCATTCCTCCCCCTAATGGGTCTGGTTTTTAAAAAATAATTTACATTATTTTAAGGTTTCCTAGATTACATTGTAAAGGATCATGTAATAGAGACTTTAATTTGAGAAAGGCTCTTTGGATCTGTATTGGCTTAAGATGAAATAGATGGTCTGTTTTCTGGGACTATCTGTGGTCATCATTTGAATGCGGGTCAAGTTCTATTTGGGGGCTAGTGTATCTCTTTTTTAAAAAAAATCAGGAGTGAAATGGAATCACATTTGCTTCCAGCTTGAAGTTCACAACTTTTTTGAGTTTCTCAATGTTGATTACCATTTCTTTTCCTCAAAAGAGGGGGGAGAAAAGACAATTGATGAACTGTGTCAAGAATGCTCTTTCAAACTGAGACAGTATTCGAAAAGTCCAACCACAACAATAGAAGACTTCTTTTTGCAGAAATGAGAAGAATTTGAGTAGAATGTTTGGCATCTAAATAACTAAGATCCCTTGAGACCAGAAGTCTAGTTGTAGACTTAGTCTCAGATGGTTATAGATGTTTTACCCTTACTAATTGGTGTTTACGTGTCTCAGGTACGTGAGACATGCAGATTAAACTGCAGAAAGTGCTTATATTAACAATTTAAATGTGCTATGAAATACTCTCTTTTTCTGGTTCAATTTTATTACAATGTGAACTTAGCTAAAGAGGAAGACATCTAGCATATTTATTTTGTTGGCATATCTAATTATTTGAACAGTATTACTGATTTCCCCCTTACTTTTAAACTATAGATAATCTATAAAGCATTTCTACTCTGAGCTAATAGTAACTCAATGAATAAAAGGCATTATAATAAAGATTTGGGAAGGCTTCTCTGACTGTTAGCCATTGAAACTCCAGCTAGTAAAATTATTTTCAAATATGGACTCAATATACATGGAATTAGAGCCAACTTTCAGTGACTACAGGATATTCTACAGCTTCTGAGAAGTTGCCAAACTACAGAAAATTAAAATAAGCACACACCAAAAAAAACTGAGTATTTTTTGCTAAAACTCCATGCTAAACGCCATGCTAGAACATTCAGTACTTTTTGCTAAAAGAAGACCTAGAAAAAATGTGTACATGTATGTTTAATTTTTAAAAAGAAAATATTTTACTGCCTGAGTTTTATTATCACAAATTCCTTAAGCTAGAAGAATCAGTAGAGAAAGTAAACTGATTCTTGAGTCAGGCAGATAGGGCAATGGAGAAAGCAAGCATCCTTTAATTTGCACATTTGAGTCCTAACCTTAAACATATCACTTACCTCTCCTTACACGTGGCATTTGACTGTTACTATATAGCTAGGTCTCACATTTCTTTGGTTTTTCAGGAATTGGTGCTGATACACTAATTAAGGGGTTGCATGAGCGAAATATAGTATTTGCTTTCTTGGATTGAATTCTTAGTTTTAAGTAAAAATACTAGCGTATTGAATTGACTTTTTTAAAATTACACTTAGCAAATCCACAAACTGCGGCGAGAGCTGGTTGCATCACAAGAAAAAGTTGCTACTCTCACATCTCAACTGTCAGCAAATGTGAGTCACTTTTGATTATTTTTTGATATATCAAAACAGATTTGTATGTAGTAAATGTGATGATTTTGGTGACAGACATACAAACTTTAAGTGTCCAAAAATAAACAGTCTTCAGTCCCTCATATAAAGGTAAACTTTCCTGCACACTGAGTCATGAAATGTAAACCCTAATTGGTGTGATTAAAAGAGCTTTTTGTTTCTTCTAAGGCTGGGAACATTAGTACCAGTTTCAAGGGTTATTTATTTTCTTATGTCTTCTTTTTATTACTCTCCATAGATTCTTTTTCAAGCCACAATATGGTTGGGAGTTGATAGTGATTAGATTTGGAAGATAAACAATTCTATGCACCCTGCCTTCTTCAGCACGATTTATTGGCAGTTAGTTAAGCATCCAATTAATTCTAAAAAATAAATAAATAAATAACTTAGGTCTAAACTTGGGTATCTGAATTATATTGTGAATGAGAGATAGTTCTCTTAAAAACCTTGGTAGCCTCCTCACAGCAGTTTGACCCACTGAGAGTGGCAAAAATGATGCCAATGGAGATCACTGATAATATTAACATTTACTGAATCTCTTTCAGTGTGCCAGGAAGTCCTCCGAATAGATGCAGAATAATACAGGGTAACATGTGGCATTGTGCCTGGTCCTAAGGAACAGTAGTGTTAGGAGCACCAGTGAGGGGTAAGGAAGCTCCCGCTGTTTTGCCATACGTCCTGCCACCTCCATTCAACGTTAATCTGCTCAGTCGGACCATGTAGTTTTGGGCCCCTCGTCTGCCTCACCAATCCCTGCTCTCCACTGAGGTTTTCTGTGTCCTGGACAAAGCATGACATAGCAGGAGAGAGCAGGTGTAGGCCCACGGGGTATGACTTGATTAAGAGAGATTTTAAGGATAAAAATTACTGTGTAATATAACTTCCACAGCATGTAAGTAAGTCATTTCACTCACTGCGGATTCATTTTAGCACTCCATTTGAATGGATTTTATCTTCTCAACTTTGGGAGAATCAAATTCATTTGGGATTGTCTTTATTTATTTTTATAGATGTTGTTGGGGGATTGTTAAAAATAATAGCAGGTTTTTGATGTAGTGTTCCATGATTCATTGTTTGCATATAACTACATCAAAAACTGATGATGTAATATATGGTGATTAACATAACATAATAAAAAAATATATAAAAATAATAGCAGGTTTTAAAGAATTTTTAGGCAACCCTGGAAGAGAACGGAATTATTTAAGCTATAGTTTGTGTCTAAGAATAAGTCTTAAATAGTTAAGAAGCCGCTATAAATTTTATACTATAGGCTAGATGAATAATAGTATAAAACACTCTGTCTAGGTTCCTGACTCTGTCCCCAGAGGACATATGACAATGTAAATGCCAAAACCACGCTGGGTTGTGTTTATCTGCAAAGAGGAAGGCTCAGTGACAGACCCTATGCATTGGATTATCAAGATGTTTGCAGATGTCTTTAATGACTCGTCGGGATTTTATTTTATTGTGTATATGTCTCTTGCATGGGTTTATAAATGCAAATATTAGGATAATGAACATCTGCTATACATTATGGAATTTGGGCTTTTACTATTTTTAAAACTATTACCATTTCAAAAGCATTACATGCATGTGGTATTAAAAAGGAAAACTGAAACTAAAAGAAGTGTGTAATAAAAAAATGTATATTTGTTTTTCCCTCAGACACCCTTCCTAAATATGGTTGTTGGTTTGGGGTGGGGGGGAGTATAGTTGACACACAACGTGACATTGGTTTCAGGTGTGCAGCTTAGTGATTTGACAAATTTATACATTATGCTACGTTCGCTGCAAGAGTTGCTATCCTCTGTCCCATTACCTCACTAATCACTGACTCTATTCCTTATGCTGTTTTTTATTCCTGTGACTTACTCATCCATAACCGGAGGCCCGTGTCTCCCTCTCCCCTTCACCTATTTGCCCAGCCCCCCAGCCCGTTCCCCTCTGGCCCCCATCAACTTGTTCTCTGTATTTATAGTTCTGGTTCTGCTTTTTGCTTGTTCATTTTTTCAGATTTCATTTATGAGTAGAATCATATGCCATTTGTCTTTCTCTTTTCTCTCATTTGTATTTCACTTAGCATAATACCTCAAGGTCCATCTATGTTGTCTCAAAAGGCACAATCTCATCCTTTTTTATGGCTGTGTAGTGTTCAATTGTTGGTTTCTTATATTTCCTTTCAACATTGATCTTTTTTATAGCCATGAATACATATAGGCATGTACACACTTGCAAAGGCTTGTACACACACACACACACACACACACAGAGGAGCAACCAAATTATAACATAAGGGAGCAGTCCTGAAATTTGACTCTGTGCCATTGTTTGGAAAGGGAGCAAAAATTTTTTAAAGTTGTCAGTCATTGGCTACCTACTACTTCTGCTCCAATCATGCATGCCACACTGATTTTCACTGACGTGTTTTCATGACTTTGGCTCATGTATTCTCAGCGGAGTGTTGATATGACCACCAGAGGTTGAAAATTGTTTTTTGTGGTGAGAAAACTTACTCTTTTTATGCATAAAGCACAGTTTTACATAGAATACATAAGCAGGTATCCAATGTATCTGTGGTATTAAGATGTCATGGAGGAAGGGGGCTATTAGGAAAAAAGCATCTATAATGTCTCCTCAAGGAACAATAATGAAAAATGGAATGAATACATAATTAGAGGAACTAATGTCAAATAGATGATTTTGTTTAAAAAGTGCTGATCTTAGAGAAAATGCCCAAATGTCTCCAGCTTCCCCTAGCCACATCTTTGTTATCCTTAGTAGTGTCTTTTGCACAAGGATTGGAGCCTAAATTATATCCTATTTTGCATGCTTTTTTTTACTTCGTAATGCATTTTTAAATCTGAAATCACCTAAAAGCCATACAAAAAATTGTACATAGCAACTTTATTTTTAAAACATTGCGAACAACCGGGGCGCCTGGGTGGCTCAGTCGTTAAGCGTCTGCCTTCGGCTCAGGTCGTGATCCTAGGGTCCTGGGATCGAGCCCCATGTCGGGCTCCCTGCTCTGCGGGAAGCCTGCTTCTCCCTCTCCTGCTCCCCCTGCTTGTGTTCCCTCTCTCACTGTGTCTCTCTGTCAAATAAATAAATAAAATCTTAAAAAAATAAAAAAAAAATAAAAAAAAAATAAAACATTGCGAACAACCAAATATCCCTTCATAGGTCATTGGATAAAACAAACTATGTTGTTATATGCAAACAATGGATCATGGAACACTACATCAAAAACTAATGATGTAATGTATGGTGATTAACATAACATAATAATAAAAAAAAGAAAAAAAGAAAAAGAAAAAAACTATGGTAGATCTCTATCATGGATTACTACTCAGCAGTCTTGTATATCAATGTCAATTTGTATTTTTAAACATATAATCTCCTTTATACATTTAGAAATTTGAATTACTCATAATCAAGTTACCTATTAACTGCAAATTATCTTGAACTTACTGTCTTTAGCATTTGGTTTATAATGTCACTTTAGATCCCATAGAGCATAATGAGTCATCAAAGGATTTTTTAATTAATATTTTATTTTTTCTTAGTTCTAAAAAATACTGCATTTAAATTTCATTCAGAGAATACGTTCAGATATTCAAATTAACAAATTCAGATGCTTGTTAATATCTGTTGATGTGTGTAATATATACATATATTGTAATATACATGTACAGAAATTAAATTAATCGTAAGACTGAATAAAATTATATCTGTACAGAACTCTTTTTTTTTAAGATTTTATTTATTTGGCAGAGAGAGAGAGAGCACAAGCAGGGGGAGTGGGGAGAGGGAGAAGCAGGCCCCCCGCTGAGCGGGGAGCCCCATGCAGGCCTGGATCCCAGGACCCTGGAATCATGACTTGAGCTGAAGGCAGCCATTTAACTGACTGAGCCACCCAGGCGCCCCTGTACAGAACTCTTTAATAGAAGTCAAAAATTATTTTTAATCTTGTAATCCTATTTGGAGGTAGAGATGAACCTTGTATTTTTTTAGTTTCTTTAGACCAAAAGTAAACTTTCTACCTCTTGGTTAAATAAGATCACTACAGTGAGCATTGTTGTATAGAAGTGAAGTAGTAAAAGATCCATGATTTTTATAAGGATGAATTACAGTGGGTTTGGCTCTGTAGAAAATATCATTAACTGTTTTTTTTATTTAATGATCATTTAAGTGTCTAGATATTCATTTTTTTACTCAATATTTTAATCATTCTATCAGGACTAAAATGATTTTCCTTAATTTGTTTTTTTTTTTTTTTTTGTAACTGATCTGTCAATTGATCTGTGTTTGGGCCTGGCATAATTATATTTATAGAGAGTCCACACAGTAATCCATGTTTTAATTTTTAAATTTGAAACTTACCTGCTTCTCTATTAAAATGCTTTTTTCCCACTTTGTTAAAAGGGGCAGCAGTGGGGCGCCTGGGTGGCTCAGTTGGTTAAGCATCTGACTCGTGGTTTTGGCTCAGGTCTTGATCTCAGGGTTGTGAGATGGAGCCCCATGTTGGACTCTGTGCTCAGTGTGGAATCTGCTTGAGATTCTCTCTTTCCCTCTCCCTATGCCCCTCCCCCGCTTTCTCTCTCTGTCTCTCTCTCTCAAATAAATAGATCTAAAAAAAAAAAAAAAAAAAGGAACAGCGGTAAATTAGCAAGGTGCCCAACCAACTCACTCCTCATTTGACTGGCAGAGTAAACCTCCATTCAGTAGAATGTGCGCTGAGTCTTCCCATCCACTTGTGAAGTTCTCTGATCAGAGCTGCAGAAAGCCCTGGAAGGACTCTCTGTAAAGTACTTTCTACTAGGATGTCTTTAGAAAGGAGAGAGGGTATGTTGGCATATACTGCTGTCCGACCTTCCCTGGACCAGTACCCCACCTATGAACAGGAAGAAGAGAGGAGCCCTCCAAGCAAGCATCTGCAAATGTATGGTCATATCATGCAGTCAGCCAGGTGCCCTCTGGCCTCTCACCCACACCTTCCTACAGCCAAGTCAGGTGGGGAGCATTTGTTTGTGTTCTAATATATTTTGTTTACGAGTCTCAGTTCTTACGTATTTAGAAATGGGTACTAAGAAAAAAAAAGGAAAAAAAAGAAATGGGTACTAAGTCTAGTTATTATTTCCATTTTTCAAAGATACCACTGAATGAATATGTCACAGAGGGTCCTTTTTTTTGCCTTTCAGCATATAGGTCTTTTAGCCAAAAATCTCTTGGGTGTTATTTTGTTTAGGATTGTGTCCTATTATTTTGCTCTATTTAATATTTTTATGTATTCTGGCAGTTACTCTTACTTTTCTGTATCTCCTTTCACAGAAAACAATTTTGCACATATTAACAATGACAAACATTGAAGGAACAATTTTATAATGTGAAACCTTATGATAATTTCAGAATCATTTTCAGTTCGTCTATTGATTTTCAAATGTAAAGTCACATTTATATACATCTCCATATAAATCTATGTATTTTTTTTTTTGGTTGATGGACTGTCACTAAATTCTGGGTGAATGAATACAATGCAGGCATTTTCATAATCTTTCATCTTACTGTTTAGCAGCACAGTAATTCTGTTTATGTAAAGATTCAGATTATATTACAGAATTCCAAAACTAAAGACAATATGTACTAGAAATACCTTCCCTTAACTAATATCTAGCCATGTCTATTTTATTCCCTTGACAAACTTCACCTAACACAGGTCAGGGAGTATTAATTATCATATTGACAGAATTTTACTGTGGTTTGAAAATTATGCAGCTGCTAAGAGAAAAGTCAGAACCAAGTAAACCTTGATCAGTAGTCCCCCTAAAAATCCACAATTTAAAAAAAGTCATCATTTTATTAAGTTTCTCAGATAAGGTCTATTGTCCTGTACTCAATTGGTTTTACTTTCCATTTTCTCTCCGTTGAGGTGACAAAGATCATCACTGGTAGGAATGGTTTCTGTTATTGGTTTCTTGGACTACCTTTCCATTAATCCAATTGGTGAGAAATTTAACCTTGTATTACCTTCAAAATAACAAAATTAATCTGATAACCTAGCCAAGGCCACATAAATTTAAAGCAGTATTTCACTAACATACTTCTAACATATTTTTCATGGAGAACAATGAGACTCAAAATGTTCTTTGGTAACCAGTTATACCTTTTCTTATGAATAATTAATGAACAGCAATGTTCCAAAGATTGAAAACTGACATTCTTATAGTGAACATTTTGTATTAACTAGTAGCTACAAAATACAGGCAGTATATTTATTTGGCAAGTTCACATTCCTACTTTCTTTGTCATATTTTAACTCCTGTTTAACTGAGAAAATATGCATAGAAAGTAAAGTACAATTTTCTTCCAAGTTTACACATTCAAGCTTATATATCTGATAAGCCTTACAGTTATTTGGGAGTTAAAATTGCAATATTGAGTAGAATCTTGCATTTCTTTTAGTAAATATTAACAGTGGTTTCCGGCCAGAATTTTCACTATTCTCAAAGAAAATGAGTAATTTTATTTTAGGATTTAGTAACCCATAATATAGTCATAGCAGGATTATTGTTAATAACCTAAACTGGAATCAGCACAAATGGTCAATCATAGGCAAACATATAAATCACATAGAGCAATGCATTCCTGCAAAATCTAACTCCTGTGACACCCTACTTGGGTGAATCTCAGAAACACAATGTTAAGAAAAAGAAAAGAGTCACAAAAAAAATTGTGCCATATGATTCCACTCTGATAGTTTAAAAAATAGACAAAGCTAAAACATAGTGTTTAGGGATGCAAGCTTAGTAGTATAACTATAAAGAGAAGTGAGAAGATAATTACCATAAATGTTACAATACTAGTGGTCATTCTGGGGGAAGGGAGGGAGGACAGTAATAGGAGAAAGGTAAGGGAGAACTTCTAGGATCTTCAATTGTCCTACTTCTTGACTTGGCTGGTGAGTGTATGAACGTTCACTATGTGAGAAACCAGTGAGCTATGAATTTTCATTTTGTTCACTTTTAGTATGGTTAATATGGTTTAATATGGTTTTGTTCACTTAAAATTTTTTTTACAATAAAAAAGGTTATGTATGAGAGAAAATGGAACATAACCTTGTGCTAATTTCTGATATATTAAGTCTGATGCAAGGATATTCCTTGTCATTGAAAACATTTTAAACTATAAAATACTATTCCTTTTTTTTTTAAAAGTGTTATTTATCCTATTAAATCTGCTAACTAACCTTGGAGTATAATTCTCAAGGTTGTGTGTGTGTGTGTGTGAGAGAGAGAGAGAGAGAGAGAGTTGGTGGGGGAGGGAGATAGAGGCAAGAGGGAGTGGGGAAAAAATGAAGATTTGTACTGGTGGACTGAAGATTAATAGAAGTATTCTCCACAAATTATCTTTATATTGTTGTGTTGGGAAAAGGAAGGGAGCACAAGATAAGCTCAGTGCTAGGAACAGAGACACCTTTATACTGTGATACTATCGGAAGGGACTTGTACATTCTAGCTGTTACCAATAATGCAATAAACTTCTTGCTATTATCAATAATGGAATAAATTTCCAGTGCCCTAATTCTCTGGATTCCGGCCATCCATCTGATAATAGTTACCTCGGCCTTTCAGCTCTGCTAGAGTTACAAGGTGATATATTTTAATAAGTCCTTTTACTCCCTTCTCTCAAAAAATTAATCTTTGCCAAGGATTGCCACATTTCCCCCCACACATAGTTTATTACGGATGTAGGTTGTAAAATGTTCTATCATTGTATCTTTGGAAGGGCACAGTAAAATTCCATCGGTTTAACATAACATATCTGTGGTTCTCCTCAAGCAACTGTTGAGAGATTGAAGCACCTCTCCATGCTTAATATTCTGTGGGTGAAGCTGTTGGATAATGGCATGCCAACAGAAACTGGCCTATTCTAGAGCTGTAAGATTGTCAAATACTTCTTAATCATAAGAGTTAGGGTTTTATACTGTAATATGTATAATTCCCTGAGATTTAAAATAAAATCCGAAAGCCATGAAAACTTAAATAAAATATGACTGAATATTATTTCTAGCTGGCCTCCCTGCACTTCCTTAGTTGAAGGGAATAAAGTAGAAATAAAACCCCTATTATTGAAAGGAGTTTGGAAAGTGAAGACAACTGTTTCTGACTCCATTTTTTGTATGCACAAAAAAAGGAAAGATAATGTGTTAGCTGTCAGCAGATGTCTGACACTTGAAGGAGAGTATCCTTACAATGAAGGAGCTAACAATATCTCCAAAGGTCATCATGCAGGTATAAAAATGAGAAACATTTGTCCATTGACTATGGCAGTGACCTCCTCCTGAGATCTAAGTCTAAAAACTTGGCAACTCAGAACTTTATTCAGTATTTTGGGTGTCAAATCATCTGTGATATGCAAGTCAGAAGGTGTTATTATTTGCAAAATACCATCCCTTTTCAGAAGTTGAACTCACATTAAATGTCAAAAGACAGAAGCACTGAATTTAAACTGGTTTATTTTTATTATTTTTTTAAATTTTATTTTATTATGTTATGAGAAATGACATAAACAAAGATTTATGTTAAAGGAGAGTCATCATTGAAAGCTAACCATGGTGGTCATAGTATTTAAAGAGTTAGAATACCTGAAATTAAGCATTTTATAAAATCAAGAGTTTTCATCCATCCATATAAGGTTCTGACATTTAAAATGTGTTCCTTCCATTTTTTGTTCACAGGCTCACCTCGTAGCAGCTTTTGAAAAGAGTTTAGGGAATATGACTGGCCGACTGCAAAGTCTAACCATGACAGCAGAACAGAAGGTATGTCCAAGAATTGCCTTGGGGGCTTGAAATAAGACAGCAAGTTGCATAGGATGTTTAAACGATGCATGAGATACAGCTCCTTCAACATAATGCGGCAGAGGATCCATTCCATACTAAATTGGAAAATGACAAGATAATACTTTTTCTTTTCAGATTTTAATTTCTAAAGACATATGATTCAGATTAATCTATAGTAGGACACACACACACACGCACACACACACACACACGAAGTTCTTTCCAGGCAGTCTATTATTTTACTCGTGGTTGAACCTATTAAAAGAATACCAAATGTTAAGGAAGAGAAACAGTTGTATAGGAGAAGAGTTAGAATATTCTAGGAACAACTTGTTATGCAGTTGACAAGAATTGCACTCTGACAAGAATTCTCACAAATGCATGGTCTGGAAGCCCAGACATAGACCATGGCTGTAAGTGGAGATACCCATGGAGAAAGTCTGGAGGCGATACGAGGACTCTACAAAGCAAGGGGCTCACAGTACAGCATCTGTGGGACAAGGGACTGAAACACTGAGCCTGAGCTGAAGTTTAGAAATACAGAATGCTAAGTGAAGATTTGTGTCCTTTTGGAGTAATGGGGATTAGTTGGCATCTGGGGATGCTGTCTTTGAAAAGTCAAGTTAATTCGTATCACAAACTTTAAAATAAACCTGAAAGGTTTTATGGAGGGGGAGAAGGAATTCTAAAAAGAAAGAAACAGAGAATTTAGTTCATGAGACAAACATATCCAAAAGGTTCGTGTTGCCGAGAAAGAATCTGGACACTTTCCGTGGGATGACCAGTAACTCACCTCTCTGCCATTATTTTGGTGACCCTAACCTGAGTCCTTGGATGGGTGTTAGAGACAGATGAAGTCTCTAAAACTGTATGGAAACATTTGTAAAAACTGCATATGTGCATAATATGAGCAGATGTCCACAGTTTTCATCTAATTTCCAAAGAGATCCAAAATCTAAAAAGCTTTGGATATTTTCACAATCAGTACCTATATCTGTCCTGAGAGATGGCTTCAGTTTTGTCTTCAGTTCTGTAAAGTATGTCATTAGCTTTACAGAACTAGCATATGTTACCATTGGTCAGTTTACCATTTTTTAAATAAAAAAAAAAAACCTGAATGAACAGACCAATTAAACTCAAGAGAAAATAAAATATTCCTGTAATAGCCTGGTGTAATTAGTAAACTGTATTTTATTTGCCCTTATCTTTCATTCTCCTATTTCAAAGATTTCCCCTGCTTATGAAAGAGAACACTATCCATCCCTGTCAAACCTGTTCTGTAAGGGAAGATGACAAACACCTTTTGAGCACAGGAATTTTATCTTCATCTTTTTTTAAGGGGGAGAGAGGCAGTCCAGTTTACCACTTCACTATGTAGCCTAAGAGCTCAGCAAACAAGATGACGAGGTCTTTTAGGGCAGCCAACTGGGAAAGAATATGAATGTTAGAGCCCGGGAAGCTTGAGTATGAATCTTGGGGAACCTCTTAAGAGCTGTGGAATCTTCTTTCGCTGACCCTCATATTCATCATTTTAAAAGTCAGGTTTATAATAACTACCTTGTAGAATCACTCTGAGGAATAAGGAAGATACAATATGAGGCCACATACAGTGGATAGTCAAAAAAATTGTTACCTTTCTTTACATTTCTCTCCTTTTTTCCCTTAAAAAAACATAGGATAAACCAAATTCATCATTGGCCATGTGCCAGGCATATTGCTAGAAATCATCGTTAGTACTTAAGTCTCACTATCTTTAAGAAATCAAAATTAATGTTTTTTACCGTCCAATATTTCCTTCACTTTTTTATATTTATAAATAAAACTTCTCATAGAAATTGGAAAACTATGCATTTGTTAATTTATAATGCCTATGAATAATGCCTGAATGTTTTTAAATACATCTGCACAATACACAGAATTTTATAATTGTGTGCACATTAACCATAAAGGAACATTGCCAAAATTATAAAATTTTCTCAGAAGATATCATGATGTCTGAAATTGCCTTGCCATTTTTTAACTGAAAATAAAGTGATTGTTTGTCTCATTGCAAGCCATATGCACAAACAATGTTTTAGTAAGTAGTTTATTTTATTAATCTGAGATTTATAACTTGCATATTTCCAAGATGGCTTTGGGAATCATAAAACTAATTGCAATATGATATGGCACAATTCAATAACAGAATCTAGTAAAAAGAAGTAGACGAATGTGTATAATAAGATGCCTGAGCCTATGTAATTTCTACCACAAAGCACTGAATAGAATTGAATGTCAAGGAAGCTAAGGCACAAAGGGAGATTGCTTGGCATGTCTAGTTCTCATTTTCTGACCAGAAGAGCATAATTTAGATCAGAGAGACAAACTTTTTGGCACTGAATTCAAGGACAAATTTATTGTAAAGTTTCTTAAATTGGGGTCATGAAATAACAAAAGACAAAATAGCTGTTCAAATAGACATTTCTCTAAAAGCTGAGGGCATAACATTTAATCATATTTCAGTGAAGTCATTTCTTCAGGGAGCTGAGATAAAAGGGTATATTGCTCTCTGGTGATCCAATAATCCTGGGAAAAAGATTAGTGCATATAGAGCAGAGGTTTTGAAACTCTGTTCTTGGAGTTCCAAGGCTCATTTGTCCATTTAATCATTCACCAAAGTTATATTGAATTTCTACTGTGTATGAGAGACTGCCCTAGCTACTGAGAATTCAGCAGTGAAATATATATATATATATATATATATATGTATATATATATAATTATATATACTATGTATTTGTATGAATTATTTATATATACACACATGCTGTTTATATCCTAGTTTATAACTGGTTATAATATAAAATAGAGTTTATATTCCAGTAAGTGACAGATTATGATAAAAGTACAGGATTTCAGGTGAAGATAAGCACCACTGAAAATGTTAAGAGTGAGGATGTTGGGAGGCAAGGTGGGATGTTAACACATGAAGCAACAAAAGCCAAGATGGTTTCATGTTCTTGGCTACATACTTAAGAAATGTTAATGAAACTAGGACTCAATTCCAAGTCTTTGGGCTTCTTCTAGCTTCAAAGTATGATTTTCAACAATCATATGGCATTAATAGTCTGAAAACTATATCAAAATGTTAGTTTGATTTATAGACCAAGTCCACTTCCTTGAATAGTGTCTTAAAATATTTCCTTGTTCCCAGATGCCGTACCTAGAATCCTGATTGTCTTGCCAGAACACTGCTTTTATACCCTTATAGCCTGGTGAGAAAGAAAGATGTATATGAATCACTCAGGAGGCAGAAAATTTGGGGTGCTGTTGGAAATATAGTATAGTGTCCTGAGCGTACTCATAGGGGACCCCTGCATCTTCACTTAGGTTCCAGAGTAGGGGTCTTATGGGGGAGCCCCTTTAGGCTCTAAGAGGAGGATAAAGATTAATTCCAGGAAAATGGGGGACTATGTGTCGTAGAAGAAAGGGCACCATGAGTGTGAACAGCAAGGAGGGAAATTAAGGGAGACATTAAGGGAAAAAGAAGGGATGTGGAGAGAAATGTGGAACTAAGCCTAGAAAGATGTCTAAGGAATCTGATCCGTGAAAAACAAGGAGCTGTTCCAAGGCTTTTGACTCTAGACTAACATGATAAAAGTTAGTTAATGAAGATCAATCCAGCAGCATTTCCTGATAGTTTAACAGCATTCTCAGTAGCCACGGGGAATGCTACATGTTACATAATAGTAAGTCTATAAGTAGGAAAAATTAAGATAATTGTCATGAATGCTTGTTGGCTGGAGAGTGAAATTGTCTCTAGGTATTGCCCTGTACCCAACCTAAGGCATTACAGATTGTGACAGTGACATGGTCTGATCAAGAAGTTTACCTGGATTTATGGTCCTTGTCCCTTTATTAGCACTTCTCCACCAAGATTCTTTGAGAGAATTAAGACTTAATTAGTGAGTAAATTTTTACTCACTAAAAATTTATCATTAGAGTCAGAAAATACATTCACTAGGCTTTTGGAGCATAGGATAATTTGAATCCATGTTATTCATGGAATCAAGTTACTTGCACTACTGGGATTAGAGGAACTTAGCGCATTTTGTTAGAATCAGGGCTGGTTGGGTTCTTTCACTAGAAAAATTTACAAGATTTCAAGGCACACACATAATCGTGGGGAGTAGGACATGTTCAAATTAACTACAGCTAGATAGTGTAAGTTTAACTGAGTGTCAGTGTAAGGAAGCAAAAGCAGGTTTAGTGCAAATTTTTAAGAGTCTTGCCTAGAAGGTCAAGTTGGTTGATGAGATTTATTGCCAAGCTTGTAGAATTTTCAGCAAGGCCTGTGTCCAGGAGAAATTTGGAAAGAGGTCAGATGCAGTTAGGAAATTAGGTTGGAAAGGACACCAAGCAGGGCTAGTATTACAACAAACTATTTGGTCATCTCATTTTGAAGCATTCCAAGTCTGACCTTGATAACTTGTTTAGCTTCGGAGACATGTAAAAAGCAGTTAGAAAAGATATTGACTCCATCCAGCTTCTTTTAATGAGAAACTCTCATGGAAAACTGGAATCTTACATGATCAGCAGGTGTTTGGGGCATCATTATCTTGAATAGCTTACTGTAGGTGAATGCAATTTTAGTTTGGTTCCCACTTTCGAAAAGTGAGAAAATATCAACAAAGTATGATCTGATCGTCTGGTCCCAAGATCCTGTACAGAATTGTCCTAGCCCCCATCTTCTCTTTGGTATATAATGAAGAGAATGGAAACTGGAAACTACTGAGTTAGAAGAGGCTTTCAATCCATATCTTGATGGCATATACATTTTCCAGGTTTTTTTCTGAAAGTTGAACAGTCTCAGAACTGAAGTATCTTCTATTTGGTCACCTTCAAAATAAAGAAACTAAATGAAAATATTTCAGAGTATCAAACAGTTTTATATTTGGCTATTTCTAGAACTCGCTTCTAATTATATTTCTGATCCACATTCCCCACCATAGCCAAAAAAAAAGGAGGATTTCATAGTTGTACTTGGAAGCAGCATTGCAATTTCTAAGCATTATAGTCACCTTAGAAAAATATAGCTTAAGGGAAGCCTGGGTGGCAGAGTCAGTTGAGGGTCTGACTCTTGGTTTTGGCTCAGGTCGTGATCTCAAGATCATGATCTTGGGGTTGTGAGATCGAGCCCCGCCTCGGGCTTTGTGCTCAGCTTGGAGTCTGCTTGGGATTCTCTCTCCCTTTCTCTCTGCCCCTCCCATTTGGGCTCTCTCTCTCTAAAATAAATAAATAAAATTTTTTTGAAAAAGAAAAATATAGTTTAAAAATAAATGTGAACAACCAACTGTAATTATGAAGGAGAAAAAAAGGAAGACTAGAAAAAAACTATTATAAAACAATTTCTATGTCTCAGCCGTTTTCATTTTAAAGTGCTTATATTAATCTTTATATACTTACTGCTGGAAAAGAGAGAAAGGGAAACCTGACTTTGTTGCCATCCAAAGGAAATGATTTCACCGATTTAGCCATATCCAGACTTTCTGTTTATAATGAATAATAAAGTCACTGATGTTTTAATATGGCACCAAAGGTGATCAAACACCCTCTTGTTAAAACATACATAGAATTGAAGCTTTACATTATTCTTTGAAGGGGAGAAACGCCTGTTTAACATAGACCAGAACATTTGAACAAAATCATCCCAACATTTACTGAGATCATAAATCTCAGTGAAAAGACAAAGTCTACAACAACTAAATAAGCTGAATGCATTAAATGATCTGGAAGTACAGAGAAGGGTCCTTTTTTTCTGAAGGGAAAGCTAAGAGGTTTCAAGCATATGGAGGCATTTCACCAGGGCCTTTAATAGTGAGAAAAATACTTAAAGCAAAGGGAGAAAAAATATGGGAAGACTCAGTGAAAGGGATAGTTCTGGTTTGAGTGATGTGGAAGGTGGATCTCATTAACTGAAATAAGAAAGAAGGAAGGGATTTTTGCAGATATGAAGAGATACCTAGTTCAGGTTTGGATAGATTATCAGTGTCAAATTTAACTATCTTTTTAATTAAAGACACTGGAATATTTTATAGGCCCTTGCTTATAAAGTTGCCCTGAAGAACTACTAATATAATGTGGCTAAACTAATTTTTTCATACACGTGATTTTCTCAATTTACATAATGAATGTATTTGTTACCTAGTTATTCTTCCTTTGGGTCTATTGTGCCATGCTGAATAACAACTAACCTGTTAATATCTGTTGTTTATTTTAAAGATACTTAATTTTAGGGGCACCCGGGTGGCTCAGTCTATTGAGCGTCTGCCTTCAACTCAGGTCATGATCCCCAGGGTCCTGGGATCGAGCCCCACATCGGGCTCCCTTGCTCAGCGGGGATTCTGCTTCTCCCTCTCCCTCTGCCCTCCCCCCCCAACTTGTGCCCTCTCTCTCAAATAAATAATCTTTGAAAAAAAAAGACACTTAATTTTAGAAGTAATCATTCTTCTATCTCATATTAAATGTAGTTTTCTGAAAAAACAATATTCCCTGAGCATTCCACTTCTAATCTTTCTAAAAACAGTTTTGAGAAGAGATTTCTCTAGAAGAGATTAAAGTTTAGACATTGAAATAAGTCTAATTAAGCTGTATTTTTTAGACCTTTGTATGAGATCCCTCATTTCCATTTTTCTTCTTTCAACCTAAGGCCACATATTTCAGCAAATTTGTTAACCCACAGTACAAGAACTATTGTTTTTAAATTCAAGGATGAAAATCTGATTTTAATTAAAATTTAATGTGTATTCCAGTCTATATGTTGTAAAATTACTATTTAAATTATATGATTCATTAAGTATGCACTATAGAGCTCCTTTTGTGAATAGTTTTCTGGTAAAGGCAGAATGAATTTCAGTAAACATTTTATCTATTGGGAGATTTATTTTAAATGGGAAATACATCAAATTTTGGAAAACTTATCTATTACTAATTGAGCAAGGGACAAAATTATAGATAGAACTTGGAGAGACTGAGAAATTATGATGAATTGGATCTGAATTTTGTATTATGGCAGTGGAAATTTTCCACAAACATGTTATTTTTCCTTCATGATAAATATATGCAAATTAAATTACAGTCAAATATTTGAAGATCCAGCTGTGAATCTAGGAGGTTGCTACCAATTGTTCATTATGAGATTCTTTGACTTATAAACTATTAGAAGTCTGTAAGAGGGTTTATTATTTTTTTTAAATATCTGTCATCTATTAGATATATGTCAGATATCCAATGAAAATAGTTATAAAGTTGGTTATCATTTGAATTAGCATTGCCCGTTTTTTGTTTTTTGGTTCTTTTGTTTTTTTTTTTTTCTAAGTGTCTAAGGTTAGAATAGTCTCTGGATGTTCTTATATCTGAAGCTGTTTCCTCCAAAGGTGATTGTCCTGATCTTACCTTTTTAATATATTCTGGGAGATGGAGAGTAGGAATAAACTATTTAATATGGAGTGAAGAACCTGAGCCTGATTCTTTGGATTGCTGCCAAAGATGATAGAGAAAATGATCAATGACAATTACATTCCCTAGGAATTCTCCCTCTAAGAGGCTGACAAGAATTCTAATTTTTAGAGTTGCCGACACTGCCAAGACTTCTGGATGCCCCTTGTTTTTTAGCTCCTGAGGGAAATACTGCCCATGCTGAAACAATACTCTACTTCCTTTTTTGGAGAAGTGCATATATCCTATCTTCTTCATTCTTCCTCGTAGTCATTTCTGATAAAACAATTCGCTTAGATAACTGTGAAAAATCATTTATATGTTCATTGGGACACATCTTAAAGTTACCGTGAGTTCAGTAAGAAAATAGATGTTTCATAACAATTTGATGTGTAAGGTCACATAAAAAAGGGTTTTTTTTGATAAATTAGTATTATTTAAGGACTGTAGATTGCATGTATTTCCATTCAATTAAAAAAATTCCTGTGTTGCTTTGGCTTGGTAAAATTGGGTCTCCATACTAGCAAACTTACTGGATGAAAAGTATCAGAACCTAAGATGACCTTGATTTGCCCAGCAGAATTTAATAAGATGACATGTAGTAGGAGTGAGGTAGGGATGAGTTCCTGCTTTTATATTTGAATGTAAAGAAGCGGTTCCCCAAGTGCAAGATAAAGGAGACAAAATATGAAGTCATTCATTTAATAAGAATTCAGGGTTTCTGGCTGACAGTAAATGCAATGTGAGGCACCTGTACAATTCTGCTAGCTAACTCTGTGATCTAATCATGGTGGTATTAATAAGTGTGGTATAAAATGCACAATGTGATATCTTGCTTTATGTTGCACTGGTCAGCTTTAGGTGCCACCCTTTGAAAGGAATAAAGACTATTCAGATCCCATTTATAAGAGAATAACCAAGACACTTTTCTAAAATTCTCCTTACATTAGGTAAATAAGAAGTTGTTAGATGTGACTTGAAAAGGTCAGTCAGGCATTCAAATCTCCCAGGATGTCAGCACTACATAAAATGAAACCCATGTGATTGTGGATTGTGGATTATCTTTTCTCTTTAGGTACTAAAACTTCTAAATTCTGTTTGTTTCACAGGAGTCTGAACTTATAGAACTAAGAGAAACCATTGAAATGCTGAAGGCCCAGAACTCTGCTGCCCAGGCAGCTATTCAGGGAGCGCTGAACGGTCCTGACCACCCTCCCAAAGGTATATTGAGAAATATTGCCATTTTTCGTCCAATATAATAAGTACCTATTTTATTTTATTTATTAGAGAAAGGCTGCTTTTACTCAGTGGCACTACCTTTTAGAATGGATAACTTAGCCTTAATGCAGTCAGAATCCCAGAATTTAAGAACAGTAGCTTTCCTTATCAATAATTTTTTAATTAACCTTAAGGAATTTGCTTCTATAGTCGTACACACGTTTTTCTCCATTTGATTTGGTGAAAGTGGGGCTGGGGAGGTTACTTAATACATTCACATCTGACTTCAAGCAAAACACACCCTGTAAAAAGTATGAAAATCCAGATCTGTAAACAAAATAATCGATATGGTAAAGTATCAAGTAGTAGGTGTGGGGAAGAGCTCATTCTGGGTGGAGGCAGTAAAAAAGGTACACTTCTTACAGAAATGTTAAAAATAGTAAGAAAAAGGACTAAAAGTCTGCTTTTCATTATTACTGTGCTTCATCAGTTCTAAACAATAATAAAATAATCTTATTTGCCACCACACCCTCCTTAGCTTCCCACTGAAGAAATGCTTTGTATTCATGTCATGTCATCTTTTTTTCTTTGCATAGGTTCTCCTTATTCATGTCCTAACTCTTGTCAACAGCATTCAATATGCTCAACTCCTCACCAGCTTAAAAAAAAAAAAATGCTTTTCTAAATCCTGAATGCCCTATCAGGTACTTTCCCATTTCCCGGTGAATCCTAGGAACACTTTATGGAATCTTTTTAATGTCTCCAGCAGCCAGTCACGCTTCGGACCTCTGGAGGGTGGCTTCTCTTACCATCAAACCAGAACTGTTCTTTCCAGGATCCATAACGACTTTCCAGACACAAAATCCAACTAAAAATTTGTATTGTATTTGACTTGTAAATAGCATTTGATACTGATGTCCTTCTGTTCTACCGGACACATTCATTGCTTCTAATGTTTGTAACATTGTCACTCTTAGTTTTCCTCCTGCTCCTTTGAAATCTCTTTCAAAGTTTCTTTTGCAAGTTCACTCATTTGTATCCATTTGTTAAATGTTGGTATTTCTTAGAACCCAGTCCTCAACTCGCTTCCTTTATGATTGGGTACTTTGTGATTCTCTTCATCCTATCCGAACGTCTGTACAAACTCGTCTAATCCTCTAGCTATCACTATCATTTATGTGTTGATAACTGTCAAATATATCTCTCCAGGCCTGGCTCATCTCTTGAGTTACAGATCTATAAATCTAGCTGCCCCAGAGAGAGCTCCATATGGTTATCTCTGGATGTCTGTTTGTCCTGCTAAATTCAACATCTCCAAATTTGAACCTGTCATCTTCCCTCTTAGCCTGCTTTGCCTTCAGTATCCCTTGCCTCAGTAAATGACACCACCATCCTTCCATATAGCCGTAAATCTGGATGTCATCCATAAATCCTCCTCTCCTCACTCATTAAATCAACAAGTTCTGTTGATTCCAACTGTTAAATATCTCTTGGATCTGTTCCCTTTTCTCTCATCCTGCCATCACCATCCCTCATCTCTCCCCTGAACTATGACCAAAAACTCCTAAATCCTTCCTGCCTTTCATCTTATACCACTTTATAAGTGATTCTTCACACTGAAACCAAAGCAATTGTCAACAACAGGTATCCCATTGCCTTTAGGATGAAATACAAACTTCTTAACATGACATAATCTCTCTTCACCAGCTTTGTTCATTCAGCAAATATTTATTGACTGCCACTTATTAGCTAGACACTGCTCTAGACCTTATTCTCTGCTTTTTTGTCACGTTGTATATTTCAGTTACCCCGAATTTCTTCCAGTTCTCTAAAAGTTCTTTATATGTTCTGGTTATATCTACTTAAAATTTTCTGCCTTGTTTGTTCAGCATAAAAACTTTTTGAGACCTTATAAAAGTTGGCCTAAATATGTCTCCTTGACCCTTAAGCTGGATGAGGTCCCCTTGTGATATCTTTCTGGAAATAACTGTACTTCTATCCAAATATGTAGTATACTTTGGTGCCTTAATTTATTTAAGGCCTGCCTTTTCTGATCAATGGTAGGGTGGTTTGTTTTTTCAATCCACGTGGCTATGATGATGCCTTACACACAAAAGGGGCTTATTTGAATTTTGATTTTTAAAAAATGTAATTTTTAAATACTTGAATTTAAATTTTAGGAAAAAAATTATATAAAGTGAGATATACTTAAATTGAAGGAAAAACTAGTTCCCTAGGGGCTACTTCTGTTAAGAATTTAGCAACTTTCCATGTGGGAGAGTTGATTTATATGCCACATGGAAAATTACTGCATATTTAAAGCTTATCTTAGAGCTATAATAAAGCAGCCTATGTTCTAAATCTTCATGTCGTAAATAGGTCCAGAAGGGATTTTAAAAGGCTTAATCCTTTCTTTATTGCTTCTTTAACACAGTACAAGTCACTCAAGTAAAACTTTCTGGAAGGATTCTTTTAATCATAGGCAACAGGTAGCCTCATATGCCTACTGGAACTGAAAAAAAGGAACTCCTCTGCTCAGAAATGTGGGAGGGATACATAAAATGAGCAAAATGATATAATCTTTGTTTCCATTAAGCGTTTAGTCTTGTGGGAAAGCAGGAAATAAACAATTGTTGTGATCATTGGTGTAGCTGAATATGTATGCCAAAATAGTTATGTTATAAAATGGACAAAATAGATGGCATAGAAAGCAAGGGTTCCAGGGAACCTCCTAGAGGTTCATAGTCAGGAAATGCCTTTCCCAGATAACAACATTTAAGGGGAGCTCCAAGGAATAATGATCAACTCATCTGGTAAATATTGAGAGAGGAATATTCTAGAAGAGTCTTGAGATAGAAAATGGACTGGTGCCCTCACGGAACTGACACAATGAGCAAAGGTACAACACGTAGAACCAGGTTAGAGAGGTAAGTACTGACCAGATTACTGAGGGACTTTTGGGCCCTATTTAAGAGTCGAAATGTTTTCTTTCTTTTTAAAATGAGAATCTATTGAAGAGTCCTAAGTAAGGCAGCGATGATGTTTTCCTTTTAAAGAGAATTCTCTAGCTACTGTCCATCGAATGGTTTGAAGGTGAGTTAAGTGGGACAGCTATTCTTGCTGTCAAGCAGGCCAGTGATAGTCATAGCTTGAACTGGGGCAGTGCTGGTGTCCAGGGTCAGAAGAGGAAATGAATGAACAAACACGTAACTGGAAAACAGACTTCTAAAATAAGCTTCTCCATTCACTCCTACTGTTGATATCCATTTGGTCAACCATTCTTTACTAAGCTCTATGATGCCACATGTACTGAATCAAATACTTACAAGCACTAGAAAGGAATTGTTAGAGATGAGTAAAATGCATTCCTTTCATTCCATGATATTATTGAAATCATTCCTTTGCTAATCTTTGTTGGTAAATGCCATCATAGTTGAAGGTAGATAATACCTCTAAGGACTACTTTTGATTTATGATTATGAGAACGTAGCCATCTCCTTAAATTTTGAGGGTTAATCAAAGTCAAATGCAATTTATTAATTCTGGGTATAATAAAAACTCTGGAGTACAGAGTACAATTGCTTTATTTGTGAAAGTCGATTACTAGGGAAAAACCTAACAAATAATATATCTTGATCACAAAAGCTTGTAGCCAACTGCAGCAGAAATTTAAAACACAAATACCAACATATTCTTCTTTATTCATATAACTTCCATATTCATTGATTAAGGGATACTATGCTCCTTTATCAAAGTTCAATCAAAATAGCACACATAAATACATGCCTTGATTTAAGTTTTGACATTGGTAATATTTTGGGCATATAAATACAGTAAATATTCTCATCATTATTTTTTAAAGTACTTTTAAGAGCCAAAATCTATGGATTCTGAAAATAGTTTTATTTTTTCCCTCCTATAAAATTTGTCAGCATACTTATTATCTTAATGGAAAAATAAGGTACTTACTGATACGTATGTATATGACTATAAGGTTAGAGATTTGTATACATGCATTACATGCCCACACATATAGTCACTTATTATATTTGAAAGTAACAGTTATAGGGGCGCCTGGGTGGCTCAGTCGTTAAGTGTCTGCCTTCAGCTCAGGTCATGATCCCGGGGTCCTGGGATTGAGCCCCGCATCGGGCTCCCTGCTCCACGGGAAGCCTGCTTCTCCCTCTCCCACTCCCCCTGCTTGTGTTCCCTCTCTTGCTGTGTCTCTGTCAAATAAATAAATAAAATCTTTAAAAAATAAAAATAAAAATAAATAAATAAATAAATATCAAATGTTATTTTTTTTCAAATTCTCTTGTGTGACTAAAGAAGCACTACATGCTTTTGAGAAGTATGACAAGCCTGAATCACGTGGCAGTTAGCACAATAGACGTTAGAATCTGTCTAGGTGTCAGATTGGCTCTTCTGTGTTTCAGCTTTGTGACTCTGATGAAATTACTTTTAGTAATTAAACTTACGTCAGCGCTCTGCTTTAAGAATGAAATTAGATAAGGGGCACCTTCGGTGGCTCAGTCAGGTTAAGCATCTGACTTCGGCTCGGGTCATGGTCTCAGGGTCCTGGGATTGAGCCCCGTGTTGGGCTCCCTGCTCAGTGAGGAGTCTGCTTCTCCCTCTCCCTCTGCTGCTCCCCCTGCTTGTGCTCTCTCTCTCTCTCAAATAAGTAAGTAAATTCTTTAAAAGAAAAAAAAAAGAATGAAATTAGGTAATCCCAGGGCAGAGTAAACACATAGTAAAAGCTAGCTTTATTATTACGTGTTATTATTATTACTGTCATTACTATTCCAAGTCACGGGCGGGATTATGATGGAAGAATTGCACTGTCTTAAATATGTTTTCTGTTTAGTTTACACATGCAGCCTATGCAGTTGCTTTCTTGAGCACCTTTCCCTCACTGGCTCTTTGACCTTGGTCAAGTTACTTCTTTGTACTTCAATTTCATCATCTGTGAATTGAATTGCTTAAATGACTTCCAAGGTTTGTTTTGGCTCTATCATTGTATGATTCTATGAAATGGAAAATTAATATATTTAGCTTCAGTAGCTTTATTCAAAGCACTAATATTAAAAAGACACAATTAATTCTCATGCTATTATGAGTTTCCATTTACTCCACGGAAGTAATCATTTGGAATAAATCACTTTGGAAGATCTGCTTGATCCAGGTATTCAGTAGAAATCACTAGCATAGCATTTCATTTTTGGATAAAACTTGGAACTCATTAAACCACCAGAGCTACAAACTTATATGAGATGCCCAATGAATCTTAATGCAGATAACCCATTAAAGCAAATAAGGTGGTACTTTATAAACTTATAAAACCAAAACTGCACTGAAATGATCTGTACAAAGCCATGTTGACTTTTATTAACGGACTTCCTCTCAGAAAGCCTCAAAGTCTTATTCATTCACAGTGAAAGTCTTTAGGAGCTAACGTGATGCTCTCTGTCTGTTGCTAGATCTCCGCATCAGAAGACAGCATTCCTCTGAAAGTGTTTCTAGTATCAACAGTGCCACAAGCCATTCCAGCATTGGTAGTGGTAATGATGCTGACTCCAAGAAAAAGAAAAAGAAAAACTGGGTAAGCCCTGGTCATTCATCTCATTCGAAAGCTTATTAGTGCACAATGAGTCAGGTTTTTTTTTTCTTTCTTTCTCTTGAGCTTTAGAAATCTGTAGCAGTTTACAAAGAGTCTCCTTCAAGTGACTGGCCCCTGGAATGCTGTACTCGTCACCAAAAGTAGGGTGGCATGGTGCTGAGGATGTTTTAGTCAGGACTAGTCTTGGGTTTGAATCCCAACTCTGCCACTTACTACTTGCGCCATAGGCAGGCTACTTCACTTTTTGAGGGGGCCTACGTTTTCTCATCTACAAATATAGGATAATTAATACAGGCTTTTTAAAGTCATTGTAAGGAAAAATAAGATGACATCTGTTACTAAATGACAGGGCAGAAGTTTACTGTGGGGATGAGGAAGAAGAAAAGATGGTGGTGTGGTGGTGATACTGATGGTGGGGATGGAGGAAGAGGAGAAGAAATGAATTGTAAAAAAAGGAAAGAAGAAACCTTGAAAGCCTCCCCACCTCTCACTTCAACAGGGTATAGTGTGAATAAAGCTTCACCTCCTCAGAAATCAACCACATTAGGGTCTGCTTGCTTTCTTTTTTTTTAAAGAGAATATAGCAGAAATACAGAGATGCACTTTCACAGAACAGTGCTTTACATTTGCTAGATATAGAATTTATGATGATATTAAGCAATTGCTAAAAAAAAAAATCTGAAGGGAAGATGCTATCACAGCAAAATGTTTAAAAACCATGCAGTAAAGGATTTCTTTTAATACCATGAACCAAAGGTAGTTTTTTAAATAAGTACAACTACTGATGAAATCCGGAACATAACTATCAGAGGATTTTGCTGGAATGCCTACTATAAATAATGAAAGAAATATCTCTTTTGTTTTAAAAAAAATGTTTATACAGGTAATATTTTAAAATACTGATCAGCCTTCATTCCCTTGATTTGTAATTCCACACTCTTTCATGTTTCTGCAAGGTGAACTCTAGAGGAAGTGAGGTGAATATAAACCGTGGACAATTTGGCATGCATCTATAAAAAATACCCTATCTTGGCATGAATGCTATTCATTTTGGCAGTAGGCTTTTTATACCTTTTAAAAACAGATTACCTTGTATGTCTTTTCTTTGTGTCTTTTCATTTTAATCTCAAATTTAAAGAGAAGAGGTAAAAACCACTTTCTGAATAGAGCTGTAGGGGATAACAATTCTGGTTTTGAATAGTACGGGAATTGAAAATTTGAATAGAAAATCACAATTAATGAAGTGTTAGGTGAATTTGATTTCATTTTGCTTTTTAAGTTTATACTGTCAGCAGGACATGACTTGATTGTAGCGCTAAAGTGGCCATTTAAAACAAATTGCCTTGAAGAGAGAAGCATTGGGAGTGGAGATCCCTTCAAGGTACTTAGTTTTAAATGAGTGCTCTGACAGCCATGCCCTTGACCCTGCACTATTTCAAAGCCTTCCGTGTTTGCGCTGCGCTGGATTAATATAAGAATAAAACAAAACACAAAACGCGGTATCATTTTTTTCTAGAGATACCGTGCTGCACCTGTTAATACTCTGCTTGTACATACTGACCCCAGGCAGTGGCTAGGATGGCACCTGCAAACTAACGCCCCAAAGCCAAATTCTCCAAATGCAAATAGACACGAAAGGTAATTTCTGTCCTCTTTTCAGCTGAGAAGCTCATTCAAACAAGCCTTTGGGAAGAAAAAGTCCACCAAGCCTCCTTCCTCACATTCGGACATTGAAGAGCTCACTGACTCATCCCTCCCAGCATCACCGAAAGTGCCCCATAATGTTGGTGACTGTGGGTCCACATCCATGAAGCCCTCACAGTCGGCCTCAGCGTAAGTCACTCCCCCTGCAGGATGCTGCAGTCTTTTTAAAAAACAACTTCAGGCCAATCCCGTTTGTGTTGTAAATGCAGTCAGGTTGTGCCTTCCCAGAGGCGACACCATCTGTGCTGGTCGTTTTCCAATCTTCCTTAGAACTATGGACAGCCCTCGTTTCTCCTTCCCATTTCACATGTTAGAATTTGAGTGCTTTGTGATCTCACTCTCCACTCTTCTGAGTCATCAGTCTCACTTCTTTTCACTGGCATTTGTCCATGTCTCTGTCTCACTGTGCATTCAATGCAGGTCACCCCTTGTCTGGCCACCAAAGAAACGGCAAAATGGCCCTGTGATCTACAAACATAGATCCCGGTAAAATGGCGTGTGATGCATGCAACTTGCCAAGTTCCTGGTTCTAACCTCAGCAGCATTTGCCTTTGCTCTTTCTAAAATCACTCGCATGCATTTCAACGATAAAAACCTCCTCTGTCTCCAGTTTTGAAGTCCAGCTTGTTTTCCTAAAACCAAGCTGTAATCCATTTGCCTTTAATTCCATTAGATAACCTAGCATAGCATTTTTATAGTAGCTCACCATTTGATGTTACAAGAATGAATGAAACCTTGAGAACGTAGAACATGTGCTCTGATGAGGTGATTCTCTGTTTTATATACTATTTAAAATCAAATTTCCTTGTATGCCCATGACAATGACTAGCATAGAACTGTCATGTAGGACAGAGCCACTAATAGGACCATTCAAGACGCTTGGGTATCCCAGATAATTTCACCACTTATATAGGAAGGAGGAACCTAGCACTGTCATTTTGTAACCAACAACACAGCCCTCACATTTTAAGTGGAAAAGGTACTAGTTAATAAAAAGCAAGTTCTTGCATTGTATTTCCTGCAAAACTGCCCACAAAATAATAACAAAATAATAAGGAAGTAATGTATATGACCTTCAAGCAGCCCTCGACTAGCCTGCTTGCATGGGTTGAAACCTGTGATTTAGCTTCATTAGCTTTGATCTCCTAAATCAGCTGAGCCTACAGGAGGATTATATAACACTCATCCATTATTTAAATGTCCAAAACTAATCTCCCTGATTTATTTCCTACAATATTTGTATTGGATTTTCATGGTAACTTGAAGATAGTGTTGTGGCAGATAACGTTATACTTTGCACAGTTTTGCAAAAAAAAGAAATCCGTGTTTTAAGAACATTGTAACTGCTTTAAAAATATTTCATAAGTTGCAAATAGAGATTTAGGTCCCTTGAAAAATGGCGGGATGAGATGGTGTAATGCTATGCAGTCCCATGAATATCAGCCACAAGGATATTTTGAAGATTACTTGGTATTGAGTAATAATGGATTGTTTTTAAACTTCAGAAAAATGGGAAGAAAGGATTAAAGGAAAAAGACAGCTCCTGTTTTCTGTTTTGAACCTGTGAATGTATCACTGTTTGTAAAACTCTTTTTCCTTCTCTTTAGGTTTTGCCGGTAGCAAAGAACCTCTGTAGCTGCTGGATAATATTGCAGTTCAGCCTTAAAAGAAGCATTGGTTTTCCTGATCCTCTGGCTTCCTTCCCGATGACTGATTTTGTGTTTGGTTCCCTCTTCAGGATCTGTGAATGCACGGAGGCTGAGGCAGAGATAATTCTGCAGCTGAAGAGCGAGCTCAGAGAAAAGGAATTAAAATTAACAGATATTCGACTGGAAGCCCTCAGCTCTGCTCATCATCTTGACCAGATCCGGGAAGCTATGAACCGGATGCAGGTCAGTGCTGATGCACCTTCCAAGAGCAAAGCGGAGAGATGAAAAATACTATTTCGTTGCCACTCTTGGTTATTATAAAAACAAATCTACCTTTTAAACCCACTGTGGAAACACACTCTGTTTATTCAATATTTGCACCTCATTTCCTAACACTGAACGGAGAGTTTTGTCAAAGCCAGGCTTGGAAGTGAGAGTACTGACTGGCCAGTCACACTCAAGGGCCATTCAAGACACCCGTACCAGTGATTGGATTCACTTGAGAGCTGAGTTTGTCGAGAAACTACTACAAGCCTCGTGCCTTCACTTTCCCATGATTTATCTTTGTGTTGGCTTTTCTCCCTTCTTTTGAAATCTGACTTTCAATTGCCTTTACCTATTTTTTATTGAGGAAAAAAAAGTAATGAGGAAACTACAGAAATTTAACACAAGCTTTCTAAATATGAAAGTAAAAGTGATATAGAATGCCATCTGTAAAAGTAAAGCTTTTGTATTTTGGGGAAGCATCTGAAGGCTAATTTCAGAAACAGTCTGTACTCAGACTGAGTTTTCGTTTTATTATTGTAAACCTGTAATCCCTGGGTACCTCAGAGGACTGAAACAAGAAAAGCTCATTGCTGAGCAGATTTATCTGCTACTGTGTATATTCACCAAAAGGTCTTTGTGGTTTTTATGAGCCTAGTGCCCTCATTTGGAAGGAACAGAAACTTTTTCAGATGTTAGCTGGGGTTTTGAAGTCATTTTAAATCATCGTATTTATATTTCTGTTTGACTCTGGTTTTCAACTTTTCATGAGTTCAGAGTATTACAAATGGCATTATTTACCTGTAGGATTTTAACAGTATGTTTAAAATGAGAAATTTTGGGATGCCTGGGTGGCTCAGTCAGTTAAGCGTCTGCCTTCAACTCAGGTCATGATCTGAGTCCTGGGATCGAGTCCTGCATCTGGCTCCTTGCTCAGTGGGGAGCCTGCTTCTCCCTCTGCCTGCCGCTTCCCCTGCTTGTGCTCTCTCTCTCTCTCTCTCTGTGTGTGTGTCAAATAAATAAATAAAATCTTTTAAAACAATAAAATGAGAAATTTCGTGAACGCTTTAAATATTATTATTCTTGATTTCAATGGGACCAAGTCCTGGAAGACTCCTCAAATATATGGTATATTCAAAAAATACCTAAACAAATTCTAATGGTTAGTGCATCTATATTTGTGAATACGTGAATATACATATGTAAGAAAGAGAGTAAGTTAACTTTCCTTCTGTGGAGAAAATCCTATTTTCATAGTTTATATTTGTTTACTTAACATATCACCACATGCTTTAATAAACCAAATCATCAACTCTGATAAAAACATTGGTACCATTTTCTCACTCAAACCAGCTGGATTTTTTTTTTCATGTTTCCCATCCTCACAACAGAACGAAATAGAAATACTGAAGGCAGAAAATGACCGGTTGAAGGCAGAAACTGGTAACACGGCTAAGCCTGCTCGTCCGCCGTCAGAATCCTCAAGTAGCACATCCTCCTCATCTCCACGGCAGTCGTTAGGACTTTCTCTAAACAATCTGAACATCACAGAGTCTGTTACCTCAGGTAATTTTGGGCACACACCTGCCTGAATCAAACCATGCCTGTGGCTTAGTGGGGGGGGGGGGGCTGGAATTTAGGGAATGTCACCCACCACTGTTCTCACCTTATCCTCGGAAAAATGTGAGCCCTCTTAGTTCTCGGGAATAGACCCATTCTTCTTTTAAAAATTTCTTCTATTTTGTTATAACTTTAAAAGAACGTTCTCTGTGGAAGAGTGAAAGACTTAAGAGATAATGGTTTTCATGTCATTTAAAAAAATTACTTGTGCTTGAGAAGTACCTCCTTAATGATTACAAACACAATAAGGAAATAATGTTCTCAGTGGTGAGCATTAGTACTTATGAATATAATACTAGTAATCCCATGCAATTTTATAGTATTTTAAGGGTACAAAGCCCATTTACGAGTGTATCAGGACCTCTCCGTAAATTTGATCAGATGATCTTGCATGATGTTGCCCAGAGAGAACATAATGCTACTACATCACCCAGGGCACAGTTCTATTAAATTTCCAACAAATGAAAAGAACTTACTGGATTCTGTTATTGTGTTCAGGGGTAGTAATGATGGGACAGGGGTACAGTCTTATTTCATTGCAAATAGAATCATCTGACATAATGTTGTCTTAGTATGTGATAAACTCTTCAGTTATAAAGTGTAACTGCTCCTATGGCAGTGAATCATTTTATGTATGGAAGATTTAGTTCTGGAGAGATTTACATGAAGATCTGTGGTAATTGCAAAGCATAGCCACCAGATGACGCTTGGAAACCAATGATATACATGTTCCTGGGTAACTGTAGATTCCATTATACAACTATATAGTTCTTCCCGGCTTGCCTTAAATTACACTAAAATAGAGAAGAAGAAAATGAAGAAGAGAAACAGAGATCCAGCATGCTGTTATTGATTAAATTATTAATAAATCACATCTCTTCTAGAAAGTCAGAATTTTAACAATTCTACTGTTATATCTGCCCTTCATAATGTAAAATAAATGGCTCAAATGTAAAACTTGGCTCTCTTCTTAGAAAAGACAAGTGGGAACTAAAAGGCAAGTAGGAACTCCCTGAAATTCAGGAAAAGACTATAACATTTGGCAGGTATTGGGGAAAGGAAATGAATTCTGAGAAGCATCAAATAAAACGAATATAGTAGCCAAGAAGAAACAGAGAGATGTCATAATATAATGAACTTATAAATCATACAGTAAATTAGAGCTATGGGATGACGATAGTAACTTGAATGTGTAAATTGTAAAGTGTTATCACCCAAATTCTTCGAAAGATGCTAAAAAAGAAAAAACAAAACCTTTAAATGTACAGATTCTGGGAGCCCTGAGCAATTCCTATATGTTGGCTTGTTAGTGATGGGGCTTGTTGGTGATGAACCTAATGGAGAAGTGAAGCAGGGTCCATAGCCAAAGGCAGTCAGTAACTTTCTTGTCCTGGGTTGACTCCTAAGGAAAATCATGGGCTTGTACCTTACAGGATGGCGTCATGGCAGGATTTCACTGCTTGTTACATGATTTTATCTCATGGAAATATAATAAGGCTTAAAGGAGGCATAGTTAGTACTAAAGATAGTTTAGAAATAGAAGCCAAATAAAAATGAAACTAAAATTCATGTCCAGGAAGGACTAAAATTCATAAAGATAAAGATAAATTAAATAAATCAAGTATAGTTTCTGTGTTCATCAGACTGAAAATACTGATGTCCATGATTCAGAATTTGGGGCAAATTTTTTGGGGAGGGGGTTTCAAAAATGTACCTTTTATTACTCATTATTTATTTGTAGTTCAATATTATTTTATTTCCCTAATTATTTCTCATTAGTGATAATTATATCTGAACTAACAAAACATTAAATCACGTGAGTAGGATACCGTTCTCACTGCCTTCACTCTTGTTTACTGGGTTCAAAATTAGAAATCAGAAGTGCCTTTACATGGGGCCTTTTTAGCAAAAAAACTATGTAGGGTTCATGATTAATTTTTTTAATAAAGGTGACAAGTAGGCAGGCGTGTGGATAATTGACAAATGTTTGGTTCCTGAAATATAACTGCATATTCCATATATCCAGTAAAGACAGAAGTTTGAAAAGCCTTCATTTTTTTGGTCAGAATTTCACTTGATTGTAACCAGAATGGCAGATCTTTTTATTCTTCCTTCAAAATATTGACGGAGGACCATGACTTATTTTCTGTAAAGAACAAAAACAAAAACAACCCCCCCCAAAAAAACCCTGAAAAAACACACATACACAGAAAACCTCAAATTTGCTGTTTTTCATTTTTTTCTTGGAGTTGTTTCTTCAGGTGATCATCTTATCAATATATTGGGAACAGGGGAAGACACAGAGTGAGTTGTGATGTGCTCCTCCCCTCACTGTGAAGAGAACGAGTTACAATAAACACATGGAGAAAGGGAATAATGGTTAGAACAGCTGACCTTATTAAACACTGAGGATAAAGTGCTGTAAAAGCATTATCTCTGTTGGTCTCAGTAGCCCTATGAAGTAGGTGTTGTTTGAGCCCCATTTCACAGAGGAGGAGACCAAGATTGAGGAAAGAGACGATAATAATTTGTTCAAGATCACGTGACGAGTAGGAGGCAGAGCTATGAATCCAGTGCCTGATCTTTTCAGTCCTATATTCATTTTGCTTTAAGTAACCACATATGAGAAGTTGAGGGAGACATTCATTCATTTATTGGTAAATATTTACTTCGCTGCTGTCAGGAGAAATTCCATACTTTAAGCACAGTTTTAAAAGTAAGCATAACATGAAATGACTAACAGGTTCCAAAGCAAACCTGAGCAGAGAAGTAGATCAGAAATCAGATTAAATGCCTTGCTATGGAGTACTAGGCTGCTCATGATCTGGCCCTTGTCCACCTCAACATCATTTCATACTAATCTCCCCCACTCCCTAACTTGATCTCCCCACCCGGGCCACCCAGAGCATTTGTATGAGCCTTGAACACACCTACCTCTTTCATCAAGGCTTTTGCATTTGTTTTTGTTTTCTGGACCTCTTTTCCTAGGTCTTTCTTGCGGTCTTAGCTCCAAACAGCACCTCCTCAAGGAAGCCTTCCAGGATGACCGATCCATATAGAGCTGCCTCTCTTTGGTTACTGTTTCACTGCTTCGTGCCCATTATTTCTTGAGCTTGACACATTCTGAAATTACCCTGTTGAGAATGTATACTCCAAAAGAGCAAGAAATTCATTTTGCTTCTCACCTTGGTATTCATTCCTAATGCCCAGCGCAATTCCTGGTATCATTTAGGTTTAATAAATATTTTTGAATATTTATACACCTTTATGACTAATTGAGCAAAGTACTACAGGAATAATTTGGTCACAGCCTACCAGAAATTTAGATGTAGGCAGCCAACAGTAAGCCACTCTAAACTTCTAAGAAAAAGAGCAAGAGAATTAAATGACACTTAGCAAAGAGTTTTACTTTTGACTAAGATAAGCAACAAGGTGAGAGATTGTGAGCATATTAATCTGGTAAAATAATTAAATTTCTAGCAAGGAGATTATCTTTGATGATTTAAAAATTTCTAACAAAAAAAAATCCATATCCCTCCAATTCTGTTGATTTTTGATTGTTATGGTCCTGGGGCATTTTTTTTTACTCCTTCTTTTGTGAAATTGCATATTCTTAATTATTAAGATAATAGGACCATTCTGTTTTCAGAAGTTATTTGATTCAATTGTCATTTCTCTGGTACTACATTTATAGCCCTTATCTCTATAAATTTACAGTCAGAGTAATTGAGGCCCCTTGTCACCAGACACACGTGCTCTTTAGCACGTAACTGAATTTCTTTTGTCCACAGAGCACCATATTCATATTAAACATGGCTTTATAATAAAATTATTGTCAAAGGAAAACATATATGTGGGATAGTTGACGTTAATAATTATCCAAATTGGACATTAATCTCATATAATATATTTTGAAAATTAATCTTTAATTCCATTTAAAGGCTGATGCTTTGAAGGTTAGCTAGCTTTATCATGCTTCTGTAAGTCTTAGCTGATTACTAGAAATACTATTTTGGTTTTAAAACTGTAAGCATAAAGGGTATAGGAGAGTGATAATTAATGTGCTTCTGTAGGGAAGTATAATGCTATGGTTAAAATCCAATAACAGTACCTAATAATTATAGATATAAGGTAAGCAGTAATATAGCTGGATGTATGCCAAATGCTTGAAAATAATATCACTTGACAGCCAATCTCAGCACCTTAGCTTTCGTAAATTACATGGATATTGAGCTTGGATATTTTAGGTTGGATAGAAAAATCAAATTGCTTTTCTGTTTGTCACCGTTACAATGGTAACTGAATATTACTCAGGTATTCCTCAGACCTGGGTATGATAGAAAAAGAAACCCCTTCTTTCCTCATCTGAAGACAATGGCCCAGCATGTGGGTGAAGATCTTTGGAGGCAGAAATAAATTCTTAGACTGAAACTTCAGTCCATCCACAGTAATTCATCTTCTTGAAAGCTGAGATTTTTCAAACAAGTTAGGCTAGAATGGGGGAGAAAAAGGCCAAATATTCCCACTGAAAGCTATAAAACTATGAGGAAGAAAACAATGAAAATAAACAATTCGAAGCTAATGTGACTCTATTGTGGGATGTGCGTGCGTGTGTGTGTGTGCGCGCGCGCACATGTGTGCATGTGTGTTTATTTCTTTGAAAATTTGGTAGATATTTTGCTAGATGAAGCTGGTGCTGGTGATGCCACTGGACGCAAAGAAGGCCGCAGTGTGAAAATTATCGTCTCCATAAGCAAGGGCTATGGCCGAGCAAAGGTGTGTTCTTAATCTTAAATTCTTTATTACTAAAGCATGAGCATGACCATGAATCCAATGTATTTTAAATTTGAATATTTTTCCTGGTAGATATACTATCAGCAGTATGTGTCTTGTCATTGGCCTAATATGTTATATAAAAGCATGAAAGTTAGGAACTCAAAAAAAAATGGCACCATCATGTAAGTAGAAATGTGGCTCAGTACATCACGTTCATTCACTGGTGACAATATTGGTTGTCATTCTCATTTCTATAACTTCAAAAAAGAAACATTGCTTTCTTTGACATCAACATCTTGTCTAACATTCTTTCGGTGTCACCTATAAAATACAGGTGATATTTATGATGTGTAGTAACATGTTACCGAGCTGTCAATATAGGAGGAGACTATAGGCTATATGAATATTCTAGATGCTGGAAAGATATATTTACTGAACTTAGTATGACAATTCCATTGATGTTACTTGTATGTATCATTTTTAAGCAAAGTCTAAGCTGATAAGGAAAATATTTTAACTTTTCTGGAACCAAATATTGCTATCAAATCGTGACTCAAGTCCTTTTTCAAAACTAAAAATATTATTTCAAGCTGAATTTGTAGTTGAGTGGCCAAGAATACAAATTTGTAAGTCTCTGAATTTTTTTCCTACCAAACAGAAAAACAAAAACTCCTTTGGAATTTTAAAACAGTTGAAGTAGTGAAGTTTGAAAAGTAAGATGGCACTTGTGAATTTTTACACTGAGCAAATATTCGAAGAATTCCAGTGCCATAAACTTTCTGCTTGAACAGCAGATTTATGCCTGGTTTTCCCAAGTGAGTCTTCATGCAAAAGACTGTAATAGTCTCAGTGAAGCTTAAACTATTTCTAATTTAAAAGCAGCTACTTACAAAGCATGGTATGAGCATTCATTTTGACTGGGTTACAATAATACTGGAAAACAAGTTTTCTTTTTTTTTAATAATTCTTCAAAAGCAATGTTTTTGAACATCCAAAGTAGTTGTCTTAGTCTTCTTGGGCAGCCATAACAAAATACCATAGATTGGGTGGCTCAAACATCAAAAATGTATTTTATCACCATTGTCAAGCCCAAGATCAAGGTACTGGCCTATTTGGTTCCTAGTGAGGAGTCTCTCATTGTATTGCAGATAGCCACCTTCTTGCTATGTCTTCACATGTCCTTTCCAAAGTGTGTGTACTTGGAGAGAGAGAGAGATGAATATCTCTCTCCCTTCCCCTGCTTATGAGTCACTAATCCCATCATGAGAGCCCCATTCTACTGACCTAATCAGATTTCCTCCTAAAGGCTCCATTTCTAAAAATCATCACATTGAGGGTTATGGCTCTAACATATGGATTTTGGGGAGACATAAACATTCAGTCCATAAGAGTACTAAAAAAAATCACAATGGTTTGCTGTGAATTTCTTAACTTTTTCTAGAAAAGGTATTGGCTTCTAACTTGGATTATATCTAAATGATGATAATAATCATTTACCCTTATAGAGGTGAATGTTACAGAGGAAAAAAATCAAGGCTCTGAGATGGCTAAGTGTCTTACCTAGGGTCACATTTTTTTTTTTAATTAGGTGATAGAGAGTCTGTGTTGTAGAATCCATATCTCCTAATATCTGACTCAGTTATTATTCTAACACCTCTTAAGGATGAATGCAGTTGGCGACCAGAATCAGGATTGTAACATATCAACTAGCTAATTATATCTACTGCATCATGATCACTATTTTACATAACCATTTCCAGTCATCGTAGAAGAGGCTCCACTTAGACTATAAATCTTGAATTGTTTCTTTGTCCAATATATGTAGAAAGTACTCAAAATCCCATCCTACAAAAGGATAATAATAAATTTGGGACCATTCTTTGTATTGAAAAGGGATTCTTTGCTTGATAAAATGAGTCTTGTAGGATTCCCTGACATGTTCTTTCAGTGAATTTTCTGATAAAATCAAAATGGGAACTGTTTTGTAAATATGTGCATGCCATGCTACTGTGGATAACACATTTTTAAAAGATGGATTAGACTTTAGGGGTGCCTGGGTGGCACAGTCGGTTATGAGTCCCTCTTGGTTTCAGCTCAGTTTGTGATCTCAGCGTCGTGAGATCCAGCCCCACTTCGGGCTCTGCGCTCAGTGGGGAATCTGCTTGAGATTCTCCCTCTGCCCCTCCCCCTCAAGCACTCTCTCTCTCTGCCTCTCTAAAATAGATAAAATAAATCTTACAAAAAGACAGATTAGATTTTAGATATAATCTAAATTAACAAATGAGAAAACTGATTTTTAGACTTAACAAAGAGAGGATCAAAAATGAGTAAGATGAAGTTCTAGGGCTCTTATGAAATAGTTCTCTTCCATCTCTGTCACCATTTCCCTTCTACCAAGCTGCTTCTCTTCCAGAATGCACCCATTGCACTGAAGCAAAAGACGATTTTCCCTCCTACCAAATAGGTCATGAGTCAGTTTTCCGTACCATTCCACTTCATCTCATCTCTTTCTTTCTTGTTGTTGCTGGTGATGTTACTTCACTTATTTGTTTAGTTTGTTGGGATATGTTTTATTTTATATAATATACCATATGTGTCTGTTACAATAAAACCCACAGGCTTAATAAACATTTTAGTCTTAATTATGAGTGTATTAATATGTTTTAGTAGAAAATGTAGTGATAAAACAAGACATATAATTAGGTTTTATCATGTTTTATTTTATTCTTATTTAGGATCAGAAGTCTCAGGCATATTTGATAGGATCCATTGGCGTTAGTGGAAAAACCAAGTGGGATGTCTTAGATGGTGTAATTAGACGTCTCTTTAAGGTAAATTGTGTAAGATATCCTGATATTTTTGAATATGTTTTATTTTAGAAGCTTTCCTTAGCTTTAATAATGTAGACGTATCTGCTTTTCCTCGCCCCCATTTCAAGCTTTCTCTCTTTTTGCTGTGTGATATTAATAATTCTTTTATAACCCATTCCAAAATTCGTTGACGGCTAGCTTCATATCCCCATGAGTTTTGTATTTGTTATAGATGAGTTGAATCTCTGTTTTGACTTCCTTTTTGTATGTATCATTTTAGGAATATGTGTTCCGAATTGATACATCCACTAGCCTTGGTCTGAGCTCTGACTGCATTGCTAGCTACTGTATAGGAGATTTAATTAGATCCCATAGCCTAGAAGTGCCTGAACTGCTGCCTTGTGGATACCTTGTTGGAGATAATAACATCATTACTGTGAACCTGAAAGGTAAAAACAAAAACGAAAAGAAAAACACAACTGTATTTTTTTAACCAACTTTTTCTTTCTTTCTTTTTCTTTCTTTCTTTCTTTCTTTCTTTCTTTCTTTCTTTCTTTCTTTCTTTCTTTCTTTTTTCCTTCCTTCCTTCCTTCCTTCCTTCCTTCCTTCCTTCCTTCTTTCCTTCCTTCCTTCCTTCTTCCTTTCCTTTCCTCCTTCCTTCCTTTCTCTCTTTCTTTCTAGTTTCATTTCAAATTTTCATATTTGAAAATATGTTATGAAAAAATGTTAACTACATTGATAGTTTTAGTATGAAGTGGGACATATTTATTTTAAAACACTAAAATCATAATAAAAACACTAAAATTCAAGTAAATGAAATTCTTTGACTTCTGGGATGTGAAACTTGGAATGTAATTTTGAAGATTCTCCAAGACTCAAGAAAAGGAATGTGATTTAGGGAATTTCAAATTCCTAGATTTATTCCATTATTATCTTTCATTTAGGGAGGACTCAAAGAATTCCTTGCCTGTCCCAAAGTAATATATTCATCACTGTATCTTTGATTTTAAAATATGTGTACCCAATAAATACCCACTGGGGATAGAGAATAGATGTTAAGAATTGGGGCTAAGAAATTCTGTTTGCTTTGGATGATGTGATTAATTATAGGCAAATGGAATATCTAAAGCATACTTGTCTCCATAATTCTTTGTTCATATATGTTAAAGAGTCAGAGCACATCTATAAAAACTGGATTAATAGAGGAATTTGCCAACATTTGATTTTGTGATTAAGGTGCTTGGGTTAGTAAAAGGAGATACTGTTGCTTTGCTTCTTAATTCCTTGCCAAATATCACAATTCATATTCTTCAAAAGCTTAAGTGGTTGTACAGCTGGGGTTTGTAATGAGACATAGAAGAGAATGAAGAGGAGAAAATAGGAAGATAAAGGGAAGAACACACATACATTTTAATATTTACATTTATTCTTAACAAAACTGCCACCTTCAAAGGGAAGGAAGATACTATAATAGAATTTAATGTAATTCTTCCATTTCTCTCTGGAAACATAAGTGGGAAACCTAAAGTAGATAGTGGAGGGAAGCCTGAACAAGAGGAAAGAGCTTACTTTCATTTGGATGTTCACTCTGCCTTATTACTAATGCTTTTTGTCTTAAAATGGCAACACGTGGTTGTGAGCTAGAAATATCAAGGAAAGCATTTTACCAGGCCTACATTCCTCTGACTAATAAAACTCTTTTGTCAGTTAACGCTATATTTTAAATTCTGGCTTCTGTAGAACAATAAGGCATGGTGTTCCCTTTGTTTCTTCCTTCAGGGGTAGAAGAAAACAGTTTGGACAGTTTTGTTTTTGATACACTGATTCCTAAACCAATTACCCAAAGGTACTTTAACTTGTTGATGGAGCATCATAGAATTATACTCTCAGGACCTAGTGGTACTGGAAAGACCTATTTAGCAAATAAACTTGCCGAATATGTAATAACCAAATCTGGGAGGAAAAAAACAGAGGACGCAATTGCCACTTTTAATGTGGACCACAAGTCAAGTAAGGTAAGTCACAAATTCCTCAGAGAATTGTTGCTATTTATCCATAAGGGTTTTAAGCAATTAAGCTATAAGATTATGTGAAACCCATTCTGAACATGGAAACATACCATCTCTTTGACTAAAACTAAAATCTGGTGGATGACTCAACTCTGTTTCAGGAATTTAAGCAAGACTACTTATTCAGTAACGTTCGGTTATAAGGTACTTGGCAAGCATTGGGAATATACAGAAGAAAATGACAGTCTCTGTTGTCTCATTTCTCTTAGACAACCATTTGGGAAGTGTTGGAGTAGAAAAAGATCCATGCAGAGTTCTGTAGAAGCAAGAGGGGAAAATAGAACTCTTCCTGGAAGAATTAGAGCTTTATAAAAAGTCAATATTTGACCTGGGTCTTAATAAATATGTGGGAATTAACTGGGGTGTTACAGCAATGGGGATGTGGGTATGATTAGAATTGTCAAGGCAGAAGTTCTGGGAGTAGCAATTTGCTTACATTTTATTTCTATAGGATTTCTGCTTAGGCATCTTAGGAAATTGAACCATATTTCATTTTGCCATCAACTAAGGTCTAATGTACCATAATAATCAGCTTGAACACTGTCAGCTATTAATTAGGCATGAAGGGACTATAAAACCTAGCCAGTACTTTCATATATTATGAGTAAAACAAAGAACCCTAAAAAGAAAATAGTTAATGTCTAACATATTCCTAACACGAGAATATTTTTGCCTATAAGTACTCATTACATTCTCAATCAATTCAACCTAAGTTTCTCTTAGGAAACTGCATCTGGGGGCACCTGAGTGGTTCAGTCGGTTAAGTGGCTGCCTTTAGCTCAGGTCCTGATCCCAGGGTCCTGGGATGGAGCCCCACATCAGGCTCCCTCCTCAGTGGGGAGCCTGCTTCTCCCTGTTCCTCCGCCTGCTGCTCTGCCTACTTGTGCTCCTTCTCTCTCTCTCTGTCAAATAAATAAATAAAATCTTTAAAATCTTTTTTTTAAAAAAAAGGAAACTGTTATGGGCAATATCTTGATGGAATCCATATGACACTGGGTCATGTTATTTTTCCAAAGATAACCTGGTTAGATGATCTAAACTGACCCAGTCTCTCAGAAACTTCAGGCCTACAAATTTTCAGAAATAAATGCAAGTTACAAAATTTGGATTGGATTCTTGAAATAAACTAGACATACATTTTAGTGAACAAAACATTTCTTAATGCTATGAACAACAATACGCCAAAAAAAACTGAACAACCTACGAGAAATGGAAAAGCGTTTAGAAACATACAACTTACCATGACTGAATCAGGAAGAAATAGAAAATCTGAATAGACCAATTACTAGTAAGGAGATTGAATTAGTAACCAAAAATCTCCCAAAGAAGAAAAGCTCAGGACCAGATAGCTTCACTGATGAATTTTGTCAAACATTTAAAGAAGAATTAACACCAATCCTTCTCAAACTCTTCCAAAAATTTGAAGATGAGGGGACACTCCAAAACTCATGAGGCCAGCATCATCCTGATACCAAGACTAGAAAATGATACCACTAGAAAAGAAAACTATAGGCAATATCCCCAATGAGTGTAGATGTAAAAGTTTTCAATAAAAATACAGCAAACCAAATTCAGCAGCATATTAAAAGGATCATTCACCATGATAAAGTGGGATGTATCCCTAGGATACAAAGATAGTTCAACATACAGAAATTACTCAATGTGACACGGCATATTAATAGAATGAAAACAAATCATATGGTCATCTCAATAGATGCAGAGACAGCATTTATGGAGTACATCATTCATGATAGAAACTAAAACAAATTAGGTATAGATGGAACACATCTTAACAAAGTCCATATATGACAAGCCCACAGTTAACATCATAGTCAGTGGTAAAAGGTTGGTAGCTTTTCCTTTAAGATCAGGAACAAGACAAAGATGCTGACTCTCATCACTTCTATTCAACGTAGTACTGGAAGTCCTAGCTAGAACAATCAGGCGAAGAAGATGAAGGAAGAAGAGAAGGAGGAAAAGGAGGGGGGAGTGGGAGGGGGAGAAGAAAAGTTATCAGAATTGGAAAGGAAGAAGTAAAATTGTCTCTATATGCAGATTTTATATATAGAAAATCCTAAAGACTCTACCAAAAAACTGTTAGATCTAATTAACAAATTTAGTAAAGTTTCAGGATATAAAATTGACATACAGAAATCTGTTGTGTTTCTATACACTAACAATGGATTTTCTGAAAAAGAAATAAAGAAGTTGATCTCATTTATAATAGTATCAAAAATAATAAAATACTTAGAAATAAATTTAACTAAAGAGATAAATGATCTCTACACTGAGAACTACAGTACAATGATGAAAGAAATTGAAGAAGACACAAATAAATGGATAGGCATCTCATGTCCATGGGTTGGAAGAATTAATATTATTAAAATGTCAATACTACCAAAAGCTATATATAGATTCAGTGCAATCCCTATCAAGATTCCAATGGCATTTCTTATAGAAGTAAAACAAAGACCAAAAAAAAAAACCCCACTCATAAAATATATATGGAACCCAAAAGACTCTGAATAGCCAAAGAAATCCTGAGAAAGAGGAACAAAGCAGGAAACATCACACTTCCTAATTTCAACTATACTATATAGTCATCAAAATAGTATGGTACTGGCATGACAACAGACACGTAGAATTGGCAGGCACAATGAAACAGAATCAAAAGCCTGGTAATAAACCCAAGCCTGTACCATCAACTAATATTGGACAAGGAAGCCAAGAATACTCAATGGATTCTCTTCAATAAATGATGCTGGGATAATTGGATATTCACATGTAAAAGAATAAAACTGTACACATATTTACATTACTCAAAAAAATTAACTTGCAGTGGATTAAAGACTTAAATGTAAGACCTGAAACCATGAAACTCCAAGAAGAAAACATAGAAATAAAGCTCCTTGACATGGGTCTTGGTAATGATTTTTTGGATATGACACCTAAAGTACAAACAACAAAATAAAAAATAAACAAGTGGGAATACATCAAACTAAAAACTTCTGCACAGCAAAAGAAACCATCAACAAAGTGAAAAGACAACCTATAGAATAGGAGAAAATATTTATAAGAACGTATATATATCTGTGAAGGAGTTAATGTCAAAAATATAGGAAAAACTCATACCACTCAATAGCAAGAAAAGATATGACGCAATTAAAAAATGGACAAGGGACCTGAATAGACATTCTCCAAAGAAGATATATAAAAGGTCAACAGACACATGAAAAGATGCTCAATATCACTAGTCATTAGGGAAATGCAAATTAAAACCACAATGAGATATCACCTCATGCCTGTTAGAAAGGCCATCATCAAAAAAACAGGAGATAACAAATGCTGGTATGGATGTAGAGAAAAGGGGACCCTTGTATACTGTTGGTGGGATTGCTAATGGATATAGCCACTATGGAAAACAGTGTGAAGGATCCTCAAAAAATTAAAAATAGTACTGCCATATGATCCAGCAGTTCCACTTATGGGAATGTATCCAAAGGAAATGAAAAAACTACCTCAAAAAAAAAAATTGTTTGCACCGCCCCCACCACACGTTCATAGAAGCATTATTTACAATAGCTAAGACATGGAAACAACTTAAGTGTCCCTGGGTGGATGAATGGATAAAGAAATTGGGGTATATATACACATACACATATACATATATATGTATATGTATACACACAATGGAATATTATCCAGCCATAAAAAAATGAGGATATCTTACCATTTGCTACAAAATGGATAGACTTTCAAGGCATTATGCTAAGTGAAATAAGTCAGAGAAAGACAAATACTGTATGATCTCACTTATATGTGGAATCCCCCCAAAAAAATTACCTGAGGCAGAGGATAGGGGGGACAGGAATTATAAGAAAATGGTGAAAAGGTATAAACTTCCAGTTACAGGATAAATAAGTCTCGGGATATAATATATAACATGATGACCATAACTAACACTGCTGTATGATGTATAGAAATGTTAAGGGAGTAAATTCTAAGAGTTCCCATCACGGGCGCCTGAGTGGTTCAGCTGGTTAAGCGACTGCCTTCGGCTCAGGTCGTGATCCTGGAGTCCCGGGATCGAGTCCCGCATCGGGCTCCCTGCTCGGCGGGGAGTCTGTTTCTCTCTCTGACCCTCTTCCCTCTCGTGCTCTCTGTCTCTCATTCTCTCTCTCTCAAATAAATAAATAAAATCTTTAAAAAAAAAAAAGTTCCCATCACAAGAAAATGTTTGTCCTTTTTTCTTCTTTCTTTTCTTTTTTTATTGGATCTATCTGAGAAGTTGGATGTTAGCTGAACCTATTGTGGTCATCATTTCACAATATGTGTAAATCAAATCATCATGCTATTCACCTTAAATTTATGCAGTGATGTATGTCAATTATTTCTCAGTAAAAAATGTTCTTAATGGAGTAGTTGATTAAGTCCCTATCACTGACCAACTGTGGGATCTAAGGCAAACTGCTGAATTTCCTTTGCCTTGGTTTTCCCAGCTGTAATATTGGAAAAGTAGTAGGGGCATGGTAAGAGCTAAGCATGTATGTGTGTGTGTGTGTGTGAGAGAGAGAGAGAGAGAGAGAGAGGGTGAGGGGGAGAGAGATATATATAATTAATGTATAATGTCTTTCAATAAAGATTTCTTTCACAAATACCCATATAGATACCACCCCCCAAAATTTGTTCAAAACTGTCTTATATGTCGTTTTCAAGGAGAACAATGATGTACATAAAACATGCTGGGATCTCTTAAATTTAAATAAATATAGCACATGAATTCCAAATATTCTTTGGAACTCAGCACCATTCAAATTTTTGTTGAACCACCCATTCTCATTTCAATGAAATAGAGACATGTAACCTGAGGCCAAATATTCAACTATTCTCTAAGCAGAAGTACCAAGAGCATAGTCGTTTGTTTGCTTCAGCCTACATGTTTAATG